TCCGCAGCCTCACGGTGCCTTCCTCGTGTCTGCTGGTAAATGGAGCTGACATCCCTCTGCACTGCGTGGAGTCCTTCATGTCCAAGTCACCAGCTCCAGTCCAGGCCCAGGCTGGGCATCTGGCTGGCTCTGTGGAGCTCCAGGCTGCGAATAGGGCTGATCTTGGTTCTGGTTCTGGTTAACGTAACTGAGCCCCTCTCTGCAATCTCGGGGAGGAGACCTGAATTTCCCTAGGCCATGGAGACAGCATTGCCTGCTCAGCTGTGGCAGGGCTGCCTTCCCGTTAGGGTGGAGGGCGGTGTGTGATGGCTGTTTGCATGCTGCTCCTGTTGATCCAACCCGATGTTCATGTTAGGGCCAGGTCCTCTCCAGACATGCCAAACCTGTGGGGGGGAAAAAACGCTGAAACTGTGAGTTGCTTGTTGGCTAGTTTTTTGGCTTGTAGCTTGTTGCTTGCTTGCTTTCTTCTTTTTATCGGCTCCTGGCAAACAGGGGCAAGGGGGAGAGAGTCAGGGGTGCACAGTGGGCCCACCACAGTCCCAGACTGCACGCTGTGGGGATCTAGTCACGTAGAGTATTGGGGTTCTTAGGGATTGGCTTGTTTTGGCCTTGTTTTGAAATGGGATTAGCTTGATTTTTTGGTTTATTGTGAAAGTCAGGGTGCCTATTTTCCATGCAAAAGTTGGCAACTGTGGTTGTCTCCCCGCTCCTGTAATGTGTCTGCTCCAGAGCGATGGCGCCTCCTGTTGGTTACACAAGTCCCTGTAGGAGTTAGACGTGTCCCATTGCCAGGGGATGCTGCACTTCGGCCCTGTTATGTGTAGACCCCAACCTTGTTAGGTGACAAGGGGGATCCCTGGTAGGTGTGCGATAGGCCACTCGCCCCCTCCGGGGCAGTTGGCAAACCCTGCTGCTTAGGGGCACACTTGGGAGCTAGAGTACAGTCTGGGGAGGGTGGGGCTCTAGGAATTGTGCTTTGCACTGAATTTCCTTCCCTGATGAGAGGCCCCTCTCCTAGCCTCATGGCTGCATGTGTGACTCATCCCATGCCTTCCCCACAGGTGGGGCTGGATGGAGTCTCGCTTGGGTGCAGCTCAGACTGCTCCTCTGATGGGAGGAGCTCCTTCCGCCTGCTGCCGGACCAGCGCCTCCAGAATCTGCACTCCGGCTTCTGCGTCTTTCAGAAACCCAGGAGCCCACGGCTCTTCCTGCAGAAGTGCTCCTCCCATGCCCTGCGCTTTGCACTAGATGAAGGTGATAGTGAAGATGTCCTTCGCACATGCTTCGTCTGGTTTCCCTCTCTAAATGGCTCGCTACCCTCTCTCCTTCCCTCTGCACACTTGGGGAGGGGAGGTTCCTGTCCATATCTGCAGTGGCTAACTCGGCCAGAGCCCTGAATGTTCGTGCTGGGAGCAAGGCCAGGCCAGGAGGGGGGCTGCCACCCTGCGCTTCCCATATGGCTAAGCAGGAGCAGTCATGGCTGGATGGGGCACCCTTGTTTGGAACCCCTGCCCCACTTCAGAGGGCTCCCACCCACAGCTCAGGAGCCACCTCTGTGCTCAGGGCTCTGAACAGTGGCCTCAAAGGCACCGTGCCGCAGGCTCTGTGTCTGGCTGGGGTCAGTGGACGTGTCCCGAAGCGCACAGCCCATGGAGAAGGCCAGGGTGTGAATCGCTCCGGTGGTTCTCTGGAGGTGGGGGCAGCACCTCTCCCAGCTGGCTCCCCTCAGCCTCGGGGCAACTCTGACATGGGCCAGGAGTGCCCCCAGCATGTGCTGCCCCTTCCCTGCTGCAGCTGCTCAGCAGCTCCTCCGCTGGTCACCTGCTGCATTGCAGGGGGAGGAGGGTAGCTCTGGCTGCTCTTTCAGCTGCTTCCCTGCTGGGCTGTGGGAGAGCAGGGCAGGGCAGGGGCTTGACTGGCTCTGCCTGAGCCTAGGGCAGCCTCTGGCACTGGATGGCTCCCTGCCCGCCCCCCACAGCCCCTGAGAGAGGTGAGACCAGCCAGCTCCTGGAGCAGTGCGGCCAGACAGGCGATAAGGCACATCTCACTCTGCCTCTCATTGGGCGCTGGTAGGAGGAGGTGCTGAGAGTGATGCAGATCCACCCCCCTCCCCCAAGCATTGAGAGCTGAGCTTGCTGGGCGCTCGGGAAAGTGTCCCGTTTTCAGTTTGGGGAAACATGGTCGCCCTATGCAGAGAGAGATGTAGCTCTGTATGCAGGGATTTCTGCTCCTTTTATGCCACCGTGGCAGTGCGAAGGGAGCAGAACACAGCGGAGAAGCTGCCCCTGAGCTTTGATGGTGACCCGTGGCCTTTTGGAAATGCTGTGTTCCGCCCTTGGGCACCACTGCCTTAGCTGATCTTCTGCACAGCTGTGAGCTCCTCTCTGGGCAGTGGGGTGTTTACCAGAGGGTGGAGCGCTGTGATCCTGACACAGCTTTGGTTTGTCTTTCCTCTCAGACGTGCATTGCCCCCGAGCCCAGAGCTGGAGATCCAGGAAAGATAAATGCCTCCACATTGTAGCAGGTGCTCCCCTTGAATGGAATCAGGCCCTGAAGTACTGTCAGAGATTCCAAAACGGGAGCCTCCTCACGCTGAGCAGCCCGGAAGATCGGGTGAGCATCCTTTGCCCAGGGACTGGGCCCTGGGTTCTGGCTAGGCTAGAGGTAACTGACATGACTGTAAACATTAGACTGCCTAGTGCCAGGGGACCATCGAGGGCTGTGGTGTTAACCTGCTCGCTAACCTGTATTAACTAGCACCTGTTCAAATCCTAGTATAGACAAGGCAAGCTGGAATTTGAACATGTTAATTGGTCGAGGCAGATTAGCATTTACAGTCGTGTGTGTTAACTCAAGATACCTGGCAGTCAGTTAACTCGAGTTTAAAACATGGCCACAAACTGCAGCAGACAAATCCTCACTGAGCCCATGAGCAGTTGTCACAGTGTTGGATGGTCACAGGGCTAGATGACATTTGGCCCCCTCTGGACTCTCTGGGGGGTTGGTTGCTAGTTCCCTGTGTCATTAGCATTGCCTGTGGGATAGCCATGCGAATTTTGGCTTTACTTTCCCACTGCTCATTGCTCTTTCCCTCTGCTTCCCCAAGAGTTCAGACCTGAACATCCTTCTCTGTATGAAGAAACCAAGAATCTTGAAACTTAGATTCCTTAGAGTGGAGTCTCTCTCCAGTGCTAACCATTCCCTGGAGGCTGAGCAATGCCTGAAGGGTGTGATAAGGATGTGATAAGGTGCTGCTTAATTCTTTGCATCAGGATTTCTTCATAACATGAGTGTCTCTGCAGAAGGCCCTGCAGGTGTGTTGGTGCTTTTGGACAGGGCTGTGTCTTGGGCAGGGCTGTGTCATGGAGTCCCCGGGCGATGCTCTGGGACTGCTCCCTACGAAGCCAGGCAGGACTCTGGGGAAGTCTCCTTTCTGTGAGCAGACTGTCCTCAGGACACACAGCTCACACAACTTCCACCTTCCTGGGTCTGACCTCGGAGCATTCAGCATCCTCTGCCCCTCCGTGCACTTCCCCCAGCGAGTCCGCCCAGGCTGGGTCCTGGGGAAGCCAGAGGGTCCTGCACCCCAACTCCACAGTCAGACGTGACTCTCAGCCAGCCAGTAAAACAGAAGGTTTATTAGACGACAAGAACATGGTCTAAAACAGAGCTTGTAGGTGCAAAGAACAGGACCCCTCAGCTGGGTCCATTTTTGGGGGGGAGGGCAGTGAGCCAGACAACCACATCTGCAGTTCACTCCATGTCCCCAGCCAGCCCCAAAGTGACTCCACCTCTAGCCCCTCCTCCTCTGGGCTTTGTCCCTTTCCGGGCCAGGAGGGCATCTGATTCCTTTGTTCTCCAACCCTTTAGCTCTCACCTTGCAGGGGGGAAGGGCCAGGCCATCAGTTGCCAGGAAACAGGGTGTCGGCCATTCTCTATGTCCAGACCCCTGCACACACCTGCCCTCTAGGGCTCTGCAACGATCATACACCCTTATCCCACCACCTAGTTACTTAAGAACTGCATAGGGGAAACGGAGGCACCCCCACACTATTCAGAGGAAACATTAAGAACAGTCCTGCTTTGTCACAGGCTGGCCTTACCATGAGGTGAACTGAGGTGGCAGCATTTGGGCGGGGGGGAGGTGCCATCACTAGGACCCAGAGTTTCAAAGTTTTGGCCCAAGTGAGGGGGTATGGGGCGTGTCATTTGAGCTCCCCACCTCAGGTGCCAAAATGTTGTGGGCCGGCCCTGCTTTTGGGACATAGGTGTGATGTGCTCCCCATTGATGGAGGCGTTTCCCTCCCTCCCCAACACACAGACAGGGAGCTCAGAGGGTTCACATCTCATCCCTTCCTGCTGTCTTGAATGTTAGTGTTCAAGCAATTGCATTTGTAGCTAGAGGTGACTGTGCTAGGTGAGTAGATGCTGAGGTGTCTTTAGTCTTCAGCATCGGTGTCCCGCACTTCATCAAACACAGAACTAGCTGCCTTGTGCTAACCCTAGAGCTGGTTGCAAGAGGAGTTGCCTTGGAGCATCTGGACTGGTTTGCATGGTGTCCGCAGGGGTTCTCTGCACAAATGGGCCGATGGGACCTCCTTTAACAAGGATTTGCACAGGTAAGAAGCCCTGAGCCTCATGCAGTTTGCCCCCTGGCGATGGGCAGCCAGCTGTCCCTGAGCTCAGGAACAATGGTGCCACCATGGCACCACCATCTATGTGCATGGGAGCACACATGCAACGGCTGGAGATTGCGCTTGACCTTTGCAGAAGTGTAAGGGATGACGGGAACTTCCATTGCCTTGCCCAGAAGCCTGGCACAGGGCTCCGCTGTGGTGCACGTCCAGCTAGAGGCCATTCCAAGTTCTTAGCCGTAAGCCCTTGTGAGCCACCCAGTCGCAGTGCCAGGTCTGTCTTACTGGTGAATTTGGTGTTTATGTGGCTAAACTGAGCCCCGTGCCCTGGAAGTGACCCCTCTAGTGCATGCTGGGATGTGGCACTTCACCCCCCCACCATGCTGCTCCTCACTGATGCTTCTCCACCACTCTCTGGTTCCAGTTGGATTCTTCCTGCAGAGGTTCCTAGTGAAATGGTCTGTGTCTTGCTGCTGCAGTCTGGCTTCCTGAAGGAGGAGGCATGCCAGAGACCTCACCACTGGGTGTGTCAGACCCCGCAGAGCAACAGTAAGAATCTGCAGAGCCATCTGCTAGGCTTCTGGAAAGGAGCCTGGATGTCCAGTCTGGGGTGGGGGTTTTTCTTGCTGGAGGACCCCAGGGCTGTGTGTGCCTTGTTCGTTCTCCCACTGCTCCGCGTGGTGCAGAGCAACGAGTGCTGTTGTGTGCAGGGGCAGCGCAGGTTGGACAGGCCGGGAGGCTGTGGGGGCTGGGGACGGGCATGTTACCATCCTGGGTGCATGGACAGCAGCTTTGCTTCTGGGAGGATCTGCCCAAGGGAGCATGTGTGAGGCTGATCCTGGAATAACCACCCACTGGGCTCCTCTGCCTCTGCAGGGTTCTACGTGGAGGTCTCTGGGAAATCCTTTTATGGAAGCTTGTCTGTAGAGGGGAGCTTCTCCTCCCTGCCAGACGCCAAAGCACAATGCACCTCACTGGGCAGGGGCTGCAGCGCGGTGGTCAGCAAGGCTGGCTCGTACTACCTCTATCATGGGACACGCTTGGTGAACCTGGAGGATCCAGCCATGGACCCAGCAGCTGCTGTGCATATCAAAGCAGGTACCTGGGGAACCATTCACTTGCCCCTTTCCCTGCAGGCTGCAGCGGTTCCTTCTTGCCTCTGAAAGCAGGGCCAGGAGGTTTTGCCCCACAGCTGTCAGGGAGCCTGGGTGCTGTAGCTGCAGCATGTGCCTTTGCCGTGCAGGGGATCCAAGTCCGCAGGCAGTCTCTGCTCCCCGAGTCTGGGATTCCCCCTTGCCTGGGATCACCTCCCTTCTGTGGTCCTGCATGGAGCTCCAGAGAGTGGTGGGCCAGGATTTTGGAGCTGGAGGGACCCAGGGGATTCCTCAGAGGGAAGGGGTTGGATCACGTGTGTCTATTTCCTAATGCAGGGTGTGTTCCGGGCTATATGGGGCAGGACTGTCAGTCCGAGTGTCCTGTGTGTGACGCTGGAGTGAGCTGCAGCCCCCTCACAGGCACCTGTGACGGCCTGTTGTACTCCAGACAGCACGATGGCGCACAGGCAGCAGGTCAGCAGCATGGGGGAGAGGGAGATGGGTAGCGACTCCGGGCATTGCCAGGGGCTGTGCTTAGCTCTGACAGCCCAGCAGGGGAGTACGGCAGCCTTGGCTGTGCGGGGAGGGCAAAGAGGCGAAGGCCAGGTCATCTCACAGCAGCTCTGCTGCTGACATGAAAACAGCAGCAAGTACTGGCAGATTCCTGTGAGCTCCCACCCCAAGCCAGGGCCTGCGTGGGACTGTGCTGTGGACCGAGGGGCTGCTCTACACCCAAGTTGTGCTGGTGGTAACGGAAGGTGTGCGACTGCTCTGCGTAGATGAACGGTGGAGATTGACTTTGACCCAGATGAAGTTAGCTGAGCTTGTAGTATGTTGACTAGAGTCTGCTGGTGCCCTGGCCTCAGCCCCTGGCCTGTGTGACCAGCCAGTTCACTGCGAAGCTGACTATGCCTCCCCTCTTTTAGGGGCTCTTCTCCCCCAGTGTATCCTCTACGCTGCCTGGGATGAGAATATCCCAGTCTCCCTTCTCCTGGGCTACCCCGATCCTGTCAAACTGTTCATCCACTGGGACCATGCAATGCACCTGTGGAGGGGCAGGGCCTCCCTAGTCCAGTAATGCTTTATTCATCACACTAATACCTGTTTTCTCCTGAAATGCCCCAGCCCCCTCAGGGCCGCCAGTAGCTCTGTCCCAGGACATGGAATGCCCAATGTGTCCTCTGAGTGTCACGTTGGCAGGATGAGCCTGGGACAGGGACAGCATGGTGCTAGGGCGTCACTGGTAAATGTGGTCACTGCATTGTTCCTTACAGTGATGCCCTAGCGCCGTTCTGTCCTGTCATCTGCACAGCTTTACTGCACCTCTGACTGTGATGGTGACTAGGCACTCCCGTTCTTTGGCAGCATACATCTCTCTGAAATGTCCTCCCTTCTCCGACTGGGTGTTCAAGGATGGATCCTGTGTGGTGTTGGAACACAAGGGCAGTCAGCATGAAGCGGAGCCCATTTGCAGAAGGTATCTGGCTGCTGAAGTCCTGGAAATCAAGCCTGCCCCAGACCTGGTGAGGAGATGCTTACTAAACCTTGGATCTGGAGTGGATGGTGGTTGGAGATGTATGTCTGATGTTGTCCCACATCACAGGACAGAGCGGTCCTGTTGTGCTTGGGTTTGCTGCTAGGGATCTGGTCTCCTGTCTGAGTTTGTCTGGAGTCCATATGGACATTTCCTGGGTTGCAGAGAATGCTAGGAAGCATCTGGTGTACATTACATGGAGTCATGTGCAGTGATGAATGCATGGCCCTGGTTGTCATATCCCCGGGAGCAGGATTTTGGGCTCCTTTCCCTGGAGGATGTGAGTTTGGAGTGCATCTGTGAGGCCCTGGGAAGCGATCCTGAGATTGAACGTGCTTTATAAGGTTTGAGCATATTTCAGGGGCACAGATCATCCCTGGAGCAGCAGTGCCTCTCTCCCTGCACCCAGCCAGCCCTTCCATCTGTCCTGCTGACCTAGCCTTGCACGACTCGCTTCCCAGGCACCCTGTGAAGCCGTGTCAGTCAATGGAGAGTCTAGCCCTGGTATAGGCCGGTATTGCACTTACCCATGGTTTGGGCCCCGCATTCTCTGCCCCCCCCCCCAACCCAGCTGGGTTCAGACAAGAAACCAAAGGGCAACATGAAAACAAAAAGACCAAGGACAGCATAGGCCTATTACTCAATGAAGAGGGAAAGACAATAACAGAACACAGCAATGGCTGAAGCGTTAAATGCCTCTCTGCTTCAGTTTTCACCAAAAAGGTTAACAGTGGTAAATGGGGTAGGATCTCGGAGGCTAAAACAGGGAAAGAACAGGTTAAGAAGTTAGAAAAGTTAGATGTCTTCAAGTAGGAAATGCGTCCTATAATACCTAGGAAACTGGCTGAAGACATCTTTGAGACACAGTCGATTATCTTTGAGAACTCATGGAGGATGGGGAAGAACCTAGAAGTCTGAGAAAGGGCAAATACAGTCCCTACCTATAAAAAGGGGAATAAAGACCACCCAGGGAATTATAGACCAGTCAGCTTAAGTGTGGTAACCAGGAAGACAGTGGAGCAAATAATCAAACAATCAATTTGCAGGCACCTAGAAGATAAGGTGATAAGAGTCCACGTGGACTTGTCAAGAACAAATCCTCTCAAACCTTCTTTGACATGGTAACAAGCCTTGTGGATGGGGGGAAGCCCCTCAATTTTAGTAAGGCTTTTGATACCATGTCACATAATCTTCTCATAAACTAGGAAAATGCAGCCTAGATGAACCTGTTATATGGTAGATGCACAACTGATTGGAAAAGCATACTCAGAATAGTAATCAATGGTTCGAGCTGGAAGGGCAGAGTGAGTGGGGTCCAGCAGGGATATAGGGTTTCTAATTGTGGGTAACTGGACCCCTGAGGCCCCACCCTTTCTCCACCTCTTCCCCGCCCCACCCCCCTGACCCCACTTCATTGCTCGCTTCTCCCCCCCCATTGCTTGCTGTATTGTCTCCACCTCCTCCCCCACCCCAGTTGGGCTCCCTCTGCTCCAGGGCTAGGATGGGAGCTGCTTCAGCCTGACAAGGAGCCTGCCTGCAGGTAGGGGTTGGCATGGGTTAATGACCAGGCACCTCCCCACTCCCCATGGTAACGAGGCTTTTGATTTGGGTGCCATTTAGGCTTGCCAGATCCCTGAAAACCAGGCACCTGGCAACCTTAACTGGCACCTGGACACAGAAGCCAAAAACCAAACTGTTTGCCTAAAACCTGGACAGGTGACCTCCCTACAGCAGGGATCTGTCCTGGGTCTGGTTCTAGTCAATATATTCATCAGTGATTTGAATAATGACCGGGAGAGTATGCTTATAAAGTTTGTGGACGATACCAAGATGGGAGGGGTTGCAAGTGCTTTGAAGGGCAAGACTAGAATTCAAAATCTTTACAAACTGGAGAAATGGTCTGAAATAAATAGGATGAAATTCAATAAGGACAAATGCAAAGTACTCCACTTAGGAAGGAACAAGCAGTTGCACAAATGGGAAATGACTGCCTAGGAAGGAGCACTGTGAAAAGGGATCTGGGGGTCATAGTGGATCATCAGTCTGAGATGTATTAGCAGGAGTGTTGTAAGCAAGACACAAGAAGTAATTCTTCCACTCTGCCCAGCACTGATGTAGTCTCTACTGAAGTACTGTGTTCAGTTCTGTGCACCACACTTAGAGAAAGATGTGGACAAATTAGAGAAAGTCCAGAGGAGAGCAACAAAAATGATTAAAGGTCTAGAAAACCTGATCTGCAAGGAAAGACTGGGGGGAAAAAAATTGGGTTTGTTTAGTGTGGAGAAGAGAAGTTGGAGAGGGGACACAATAAGCCTTTACATAAAAGGTTCTTATAAAGAGGAGGGTGAAAGAAATTGTTCTGCTTCTTCTCCTGTCCTCAGTGGATAAGGAATGGGCCTAAACTGCAGGAAGGGCAGTTTAGGTTGGTGTGATAGACCCAGGCCAGCTGGGTACAGCAGAGTAGCCATATTGGGATCCAGGAAGTGGGTGGGCAAAAGGATCCCACTGCTAAAGGATCCCCCCCTCTTCTTCCCCCCCCCCCCCCAGCCTAAGGGGGAGGTCCACAGGACCTGGAAAACCAAATAATTACAGGGGACAACTAATGAACAACAGGGACAGGAGTGCGGTCAAAGGGTCAAACATGTCACAGACAGGGAGTGCATAGATAAGGAGGTGAGGGGAAAAGTGCAACCAAAATCTTAACAAAATATTTGTGAGGAGCCGGAATAGGGGCTCCAGCCTGGCGCACTCCAGGTAGACGAGCGCCAGGGTTTCCCTCACGCCGCAAAAGGGGCAGGTGTCCGGGATTAGGGTGAACCGTGCCAAGTACACAAAGCCTTGGAAATAAGCAGGGAGAACTGGAGGTCCTGGTGATGTCAAGGAATTATGACGGGATTGGAATAACAGAGACTTGGTGGGATAACTCGCATGACTGGAGTACTGTCATGGATGGTTATAAACTGTTCAGGAAGGACAGGCAGGGCAGAAAAGGTGGGGGAGTAGCACTGTATGTAAGGGAGCAGTATGACTGCTCAGAGCTCCGGTATGAAACTGCAGAAAAACCTGAGTGTCTCTGGATTAAGTTTAGAAGTGTGAGCAACAAGAGTGATGGAGTGGTGGGAGTCTGCTATAGACCACCGGACCAGGGGGATGAGGTGGATGAGGCTTTCTTCCGGCAACTCGCGGAAGCTACTAGATCGCACGCCCTGGTTCTCATGGGTGACTTTAATTTTCCTGATATCTGCTGGGAGAGCAATACAGCGGTGCATAGACAATCCAGGAAGTTTTTGGAAAGCGTAGGGGACAATTTCCTGGTGCAAGTGCTAGAGGAGCCAACTAGGCGGGGAGCTTTTCTTGACCTGCTGTTCACAAACCGGGAAGAATTAGCAGAGGAAGCAAAAGTGGATGGGAATCTGGGAGGCAGTGACCATGAGTTGGTTGAGTTCAGGATCCTGACACAGGGAAGAAAGGTAAGCAGCAGGATACGGACCCTGGACTTCAGGAAAGCAGACTTCGACTCCCTCAGGGAGCGGATGGGTAGGATCCCCTGGGGGGCTAACATGAAGGGGAAAGGAGTCCAGGAGAGCTGGCTGTATTTCAAGGAATCTCTGACGTTACAGGGACAAACCATCCCGATGTGTAGAAAGAATAGTAAATATGGCAGGCGACTAGCTTGGCTTAACGGTGAAATCCTAGCGGATCTTAAACATAAAAAAGAAGCATACAAGAAGTGGAAGGTTGGACATATGACCAGGGAAGAGTATAAAAATATTGCTCGGGCATGTAGGAATGAAATCAGGAGGGCCAAATTGCACCTGGAGCTGCAGCTAGCGAGAGAGAGGTTTCTTCAGGTATGTTGGCAACAAGAAGAAAGTCAAGGAAAGTGTGGGCCCCTTACTGAATGAGGGAGGCAACCTAGTGACAGAGGATGTGGAAAAAGCTAATGTACTCAATGCTTTTTTTGCCTCCGTCTTCACTAACAAGGTCAGCTCCCAGACTGCTGCACTGAGCATCACAACATGGGGAATAGATGGCCAGCCCTCTGTGGAGAAAGAGGTGGTTAGGGACTATTTAGAAAAGCTGGACGTGCACAAGTCCATGGGGGCCAGACGAGTTGCATCCGAGAGTGCTAAAGGAACTGGCGGCTGTGATTGCAGAGCCATTGGCCATTATCTTTGAAAACTCGTGGCGAATGGGGGAAGTCCCGGATGACTGGAAAAAGGCTAAAATAGTGCCAATCTTTAAAAAAGGGAAGAAGGAGGATCCTGGGAACTACAGGCCAGTCAGCCTCACTTCAGTCCCTGGAAAAATCATGGAGCAGGTCCTCAAAGAATCAATCCTGAAGCACTTAGAGGAGAGGAAAGTGATCAGGAACAGTCAGCAGGGATTCACCAAGGGAAGGTCATGCCTGACTAATCTAATCGCCTTCTATGATGAGATTACTGGTTCTGTGGATGAAGGGAAAGCAGTGGATGTATTGTTTCTTGACTTTAGCAAAGCTTTTGACACGGTCTCCCACAGTATTCTTGTCAGCAAGTTAAAGAAGTATGGGCTGGATGAATGCACTATAAGGTGGGTAGAAAGCTGGCTAGATTGTCGGGCTCAACGGGTAGTGATCAATGGCTCCATGTCTAGTTGGCAGCTGGTGTCAAGTGGAGTGCCCCAGGGGTTGGTCCTGGGGCTGGTTTTGTTCAATATCTTCATAAATGATCTGGAGGATGGTGTGGATTGCACTCTCAGCAAATTTGCGGATGATACTAAACTGGGAGGAGTGGTAGATACGTTGGAGGGCAGGGATAGGATACATATGGCCCTAGACAAATTGGAGGATTGGGCCAAAAGAAATCTGATGAGGTTCAATAAGGATAAGTGCAGGGTCCTGCACTTAGGATGGAAGAACCCAATGCACAGCTACAGACTAGGGACCGAATGGCTAGGCAGCAGTTCTGCGGAAAAGGACCTAGGGGTGACAGTGGACGAGAAGCTGGATATGAGTCAGCAGTGTGCCCTTGTTGCCAAGAAGGCCAATGGCATTTTGGGATGTATAAGTAGGGGCATAGCGAGCAGATCGAGGGACGTGATCGTCCCCCTCTATTCGACATTGGTGAGGCCTCATCTGGAGTACTGTGTCCAGTTTTGGGCCCCACACTACAAGAAGGATGTGGAGAAATTGGAAAGAGTCCAGCGAAGGGCAACAAAAATGATTAGGGGTCTAGAACACATGACTTATGAGGAGAGGCTGAGGGAGCTGGGATTGTTTAGCCTGCAGAAGAGAAGAATGAGGGGGGATTTGATAGCTGCTTTCAACTACCTGAGAGGTGGTTCCAGAGAGGATGGTTCTAGACTATTCTCAGTGGTAGAAGAGGACAGGACAAGGAGTAATGGTCTCAAGTTGCAGTGGGGGAGGTTTAGGTTGGATATTAAGAAAAACTTTTTCACTAGGAGGGTGGTGAAACACTGGAATGCGTTACCTAGGGAGGTGGTGGAATCTCCTTCCTTAGAAGTTTTTAAGGTCAGGCTTGACAAAGCCCTGGCTGGGATGATTTAATTGGGGATTGGTCCTGCTTTTGAGCAGGGGGTTGGACTAGATGACCTCCTGAGGTCCCTTCCAACCCTGATATTCTATGAAGGGAACCTGACGGGGACACCGAGCAGAGAACCCCGGACGGCGCCCACTGCTCCTCAAAGGCGTCAAGGGAGTCAGTGGACACCGCCCAAAGGAACTCTGCCCAGAGGCGTGAACGGACAGAGTATCGGAAATAGGCCCCACAGTCACAGGAGACTCCATTGGCCAACCTCCTCACCCTGGTTTTATAGATGGCCACTTTAGCCAGGGCCAGGAGGAGGTTGACCAGGAGGTCCCGCGACTTAGCGGGGTCACAGACGGGGAGTGCATAGATAAGGAGGTGAGGGGAAAAGTGCAACCAAAATCTTAACAAAATATTCGTGAGGAGCCGGAATAGGGGCTCCAGCCTGGCGCACTCCAGGTAGACGAGCGCCAGGGTTTCCCTCACGCTGCAAAAGGGGCAGGTGTCCGGGATTAGGGTGAACTGCGCCAAGTACACGCCCGTGCTCACGGCCACGTGAAGGAGCCGCCAACTAATATCGCCGGTGGGCCTTGGGAGCAAGGTGGAATATAGGCCGGCCCACTGGGGCTCCTCACCCTCTAGAGGTGGCAGGAGGTCCCGCCACTTTGTGTCAGGGCGGGACGCGAGGGTGAAGACATGAAGGGTGTGGAGCACGAGCGTGTAGAGATGTTTCCTTGGCGTGGTCTGGAACCGGACTGGCTGCAGCTCGCGTAGCCGGCTCACGGTGAAGGGGCCGGGGGTGTCGGTCGGGTCGATGGGGCAGGGGCCCGATGAAAAGGTCCGGTACAGCAGAGTAGCCTTATTGGGATCCAGGAAGTGGGTGGGTGAAGCCCGCCCACTGCTAAAGGACCCCCCCCCAGCCTGAGGGGGGGTCCACAGGACCTGGGAAATGAAATAATTTACGGGGGACAACTAATGAACAACAAGGACAGGAGTGCGGTCAAAGGGTCAAATGAAGGGAACCTGACGGGGACACCGAGCAGGGGAAACCGAGCAGAGAACCCCGGACGGCGCCCACCGCTCCTCAAAGGCGTCAAGGGAGTCAGTGGACACCGCCCAAAGGAACTCTGCCCGGAGGCGTGAACGGACAGAGTATCGGAAATAGGCCCCACAGTCACAGGAGACTCCATTGGCCAACCTCCTCACCCTGGTTTTATAGATGGCCACTTTATCCAGGTACAGCAGAGTAGCTGAAGCCAGATATACTGGCCACTGGATTAACAGTTTTCTGTTCCCTGACTGACCAGAGCAGGGGCTGCTCCAGGCTAATGAGAACATCTGACTCCAATTAACCTGCAGAGTCAGGTGAGGCCATTAAGCTAATGTGACCACCTGACTCTAATTAAGGCCCCTCTGATAATATAAAAGGGCTCACTCCAGTCAGGCAGAAGAGAGCCAGGGAGCAGAAGTGTGGCTGAAGGGCGCAATGAAGACACCCTCAAGTCATTGGTAAGGAAGAACCAGGAGAGCTGTGGGGAAGTGGCCCAGGGAAATGTAGCAACTCTGGCCGTGGAAGGTTGGCTGCCAACAGCTGCTACCATTAGGGTCCCTGGGCTGGAACTTGGAGTAGAGGGCAGGCCCAGGTTCCCCCACAACCCAACACTACAGAAACACCTCCTGGGAGGGGAAGACAGGCCCCTGTCAGGGCAGGAGGCTAAACTGTTTTGGTATGAGGCCGTAGGAGAAACAGAGACTGGGAATTCTCTCACCAACCTCCTTGCTGGCTTATGATGAAAAGGGCTCAGTAGACTGTATCCCTGGCTACGTGGAGGGTTGCAGTGAGTCTCTGAAGCTAGCATAAACCACCTGGAAGCACAGGACCCACGGGCACAAGGTTGGAGCTCTGCCACATTGGACATTAGGAAAAACTTCCTAACTGTCTGGGTGGATAAGCAGTGGAATAAATTGCCCAGAGAGGTTGTGGAATCGCCATCATTGGAGGGTTTTAAGAAGAGGTTAGACAAACAGTTGTCAAGGATGTTATAGATAATACTGAGCATAGGCACTGACTCCATGAGTGCACCAGGCTGGAGCATCCACAGGGAAAAAATTAGTGGGTGCTTAGCACCCACTGGCAGTCAACTTCCTCCCTGCCCCCCAGTGCCTCCTGTCTGCTGGCGGCCCTGCCAATCAACTTCTTCCCTTCCCTCCCAGTGCCTCCCACCCACCGCGATCAGCTGTTTCATGGCATGCAGGAGGCACTGGGAAGGGTGGGGTGAGGGTGTCACGGAGTCCCCGGACGATGCTCTGGAACTGCTCCCCACGAAGCCAGTCAGGACTCTGGGGAAGTCTCCTTTCTGTGAGCAGCCTATCTTCAGGACCCACAGCTCACACAACTTCCACCTTCCTGGGTCTGACTTCGGAGCATTCAGCATCCTCTGCCTGTCCGTGCACTTCCCCCAGCAAGTCCGCCCAGGCTGGGTCCTGGGGAAGCCAGAGGGTCCTGCACCCCAACTCCGCAGTCAGACATGACTCTCAGCCAGCCAGTAAAACCGAGGTTTATTAGATGACAGGAACATGGTCTAAAACAGAGCTTGTTTTTACAGAGAACAGGACCCCTCAGCTGGGTCTATGGGGGGGGAGGGGGCGCAGTGAGCCAGACAACCACGTCTGCACTTCACTCCATGTCCCCAGCCAGCCCCAAACTGAAACTCTCTCCAGCCCCTCCTCCTCTGGGCTTTGATCCTTTCCTGGGCCAGGAGGTCACCTGATTCCTTTGTTCTCTAACCCTTTAGCTCTCACCTTGCAGGGGGGAAGGGCCAGGCCATCAGTTGCCAGGAAACAGGGTGTCGGCCATTCTCTATGTCCAGACCCCTGCACACACCTGCCCTCTAGGGCTCTGCAGTGATCACACACCCTTATCCCACCCCCTAGATACTTAAGAACTGCATGGGGAAACTGAGGCACCCCCACACTATTCAGAGGAAACATTAAGAACAGTCCCGCTTCATCACAGAGGGCTTGAGAGAAGTGGGGGATGGGGCCTGGGGCAGAGCCGGGGTTGAGCACTCCCAGGGCCCAGGGGAAGCCGGCGCCTGTGATACTGAGCCCTGCCTTAGTGCGGGGGACTGGACCAGTTGACCCCTTCTGAGGTCCCTTCCAGCCCTACGTTTCTGTGATGCTAAGTGCTGGTGAGATCATGGCAGCTGGGGAAGGGGCTATCTGGAGGAGGGGCTAAGATGGGGCAGAGGTTCCGTCCCACCAAACTGCCCCTGCAGTGGGGAGGAGACCTCTGTGAGGTTCCACTTGTGGTGTTCTCCAGCACGGCTCCTGCTGGGACGTTGCAAGGTCTGACTCTATTCTCCCCCTCTTCACCCAGGGATCTGTAGGGAAGGGACCCTACCCACCATGTGCCAGCATGGGGGAACTGCTCACGGGAATGGGCCATGCAACCTGTGCTCACGGCAGCCCCAGGGGCCAAGCCTCCCAGAGTGTGCAGAGTACAAGGTGGGGTTTGTGACACTTGTCAGAGTTGCCCCCGTAGTGGAGTGGTGGTGGGGGGCCAGCAACAGGACCAAGAGAAGGCCTCCCGGTCGAGGGAGCTCTGGCGCATCCTTGATAGAGCATGGAAGGAGTGGCTCTGGGCTCTTCCTATTCTAGGGCAGTCAGTCTGCTCTGCAGCTCCCGGATGCCCTTGGCTTTGCCTTTCTCAGCTCAAGGCCCTGTACTGTGCTGGCCCAACGGCCAGCCCCTCTCCAGCTGTAGCCCTGGGGAAGGCTTCTTCAGCCCAGCATATTCCTGTTCTGCTTCTTTCAGCTCTGCGGGACCCCTTATGAAGGCCGAGGTCCTGAGAAGCGCTGTCCCTCGGGCTCCTTCTGGTCTTGCCAGCGAGCAGAAGGTCAGAGCATTGGCCTCCCCCACAGGAGCTTTCTCTGCTTGTGTGAGGGGGGGCTGGGAGTCGGGGAGCCAGGGGGAGCATGGGCCATTTCCCTGTGCTCCAGGGGCAGGCTCCTAGCTGGGATTGCCAAGCAGAGCCCTCCACGTGCCTTGCAGAGCAGAGGCAGCTCAGACTTGCTGGCCAGTCGCTGTGTGAGGAGAAGTAGGGCTGAGTCTCGGCAGCTGCCAGACACCTGAGCCAATTCTCCTCAAGGGCCTCACCAGAAGAGGCGATTCGTTATTCTCATGCTATGCTGTGTGAGGGAGATGTCCCTTGCTTTCCTTTCCCGGCAGCTCAGTCTGTTTGGTGTTTGATCTGGGGTAGGGGGATGCTGCAGTACTGATAGTTGCTTTTGTTGTGGGTCAGGCATTTGGGGCCTGCTGTGCCTGAGCAGCGCTGCCCCCACAACCTAATCAGTCACTGGGTCGTGGAGCGCGGATGGTGTGTTTCTGGAGGCTCCCTGCTTCTTGTCTGAGCCACAGAGCCTGGTTCTCCTGGCACTCGTGCTGGTGGAGATCAGGAGTCTGCCCGTGGCAGCCATGGGAGTTCTGGGGGTGGCACTCAGAGGAGAGTCAGGCCCATGAATTTGAAATCTAACCATTTGCCCCTCTAGGCTGAGCTCCAGCATAGCCCCGTGCTGAGAATCTCACTGCTTTGGCCCTGGAGTGCTGAGCCAGCTCCCTCCAGAGCTCCCGGCCGCTGCAGTGAGATTGGAGCTGGCCGCTGAGCCCAGGCCTGCAGGGCTGTGCAGAGCAGGGTCCCAGCCCCTACTGCTCCTAACTCCCACCTGCTCAGGGACCAAGGTGCCAGGGCTGGGCTGCCATCGGGGCTGAGAAAAGCAGCCCCCCCAGTTCACCTGAAACCAGTTTCTCTGTGTGCCGTTGCTGTGGTTTCTGTGGGGCTGTGCAGGTGCTTGAGACTCTGAGCTGGAATGGTGCCCGCAGAGGCTGCTTGTCTGCCTGGCCTCCAGAGCTCCTCAGCCAGCTTTATTCAATGCAAGGGAACCCCAGGCAGCCCCAGGAACTCGCCTTCCCATGCAGCCCTCACCATTCCCCTGGAGCAGGGCCAGGCCTGGCATGTACAGGGAGTGCTGTGAGCAGAACTGTGAGGGGCAGGGCCTGACCTTGGCCTCTCTTTTCCCAGGGAGCTGCTGGTGGTGGGGGCTGAGTGGGCGGGATGGAGACTGTTGTTGCCTGTGATGAAGGCTGGGAAGGGCGAGGGGCGGGGAGTCTGTCCCTGCCTGTGGTGCAGGCGGGCAGGGAGACTAGGGCTTGGGGGGGGGGGCAGGGAGGCTGTTGCTGTGGGGGGCAGGTGTGCACAGGGAGGGTGTCACTCACAGGGTTGCGGGGAACCCTCTTTGCAGAGGTGGAGCTGCCAGCTCTTCGGGAGAAGCTGCTCATTTCCTTCCAGGATTTTGTGTGGCAGAGACACGCTTCGCTGGGGGCAGCCAAGGACTCCTGCTTCCTGCAGAGAGAGAACTGCACCGGGGTGATGCAGCTGCATGGCACCCACTACACCATGAACGGAACAGTGCTCGTCGACAGTCCTGGCTCCGGTGCCACCCTCTACATCAAGTCAGGTAGTCAGGCCCCGCTTTGCTGGGTGGGTCCCAGGGGGCAGCAGTCTGGGCTGCCCTGCGGCTGTGTTTTTCTCCTGCGTGGGGCTAAACCCAGTTCAGTGGGGCTCCTGTGGGTCTGGAAAGCCCTGCTAGGTGCTGCCCAGCCCTGTGGGGAAGGGGCAGACTGGGTCCCTATTGTAGGTCTGGAGCTGGGACCAGGCTAGTTTGAAACACACAGGGCCTGCTCCTGCTCCATCAGGCATTGGTGAAACTCCCTCAGCCTCCAGCGAGAGCAGGATCGGGCCCTATCGCTAATGGACCCCGCGATATTGCTGTGCGGCTGGTGTGCTTGTCTTTGCAGCCTGCTCCCCTGGCTATTCCGGCATGAGGTGTGCAAGGCGCTGCCTACCCTGTCCTGGCACTCGCACCTGTAACCCCCTGAATGGCCGCTGCGAAGGGCTCCTGAGCTGTGTCCACAGGGTTGGCCTTTCCTGTCTCCATGGTAAGGGTGCAGCCCCCCTCATTGCAGGCGCAGTGGGGGGGTGTGTGCATGCAGTGTTCTGATGGGAGGCACATGCACCATTCTGCTATCTGGGGAGGGACTGGGTGAAGCCCAATTATCGTGAAGGGGGAGGAGGTGAATGGAGCCGGGCTCAGCTGAAGGGCAGAGCAACCAGTCCTGAGCCCCCACCTGCCTCTTGGTGTAGCCTAAAAACATACCACGGAGAGGAGAACCCCGTACCCGTCTGGCTCTGTCAGGGCACAGGGTGGGTCTGGGGGGGTTCTTACCCTCAGGATACAGTGGAGTAGATGTCAGCCAGGCTGCAGCCGTAGCCAATGGTGCAGGGGCAGCTCTGTACCCTGCAGCCTGTGTGCTGTGCTCCTTCCTGTATTGCCCAGAAGTGGCATGGCCTCTGGAAACTCTTCTTCTCCTGCGCACATTCGGCTGGCAGATGGCATCTGGGAAAGGCAGGCCTGGCCCTCGCCCTCCCTGGATTGCATGGTGGCACTGGTGAGGGCATGCCCCAGTGCATGATACACTGCCAGTACTGAGGCGTGGGAAGGCCTGACCACCACACCCTGCAATGCCTTTCCATCCCTCAATGGGTGCATCGGGATCCCCCAGGGGAAGGAAACATTGCATGGGAAAGGGTCTGTAACACGCTGCTGGGGTACACCGAGCTGGGAGCCGTCAAGTTATCCCCCCCACACACCCCCCCGCCACAGCAAGAGGGAGCTTTGCTGGCATTGGATTGCCACACCAGCCTGTCTGCCTCCCCAGCAAACTCCTCTAGGCCCTCCTGGCCCTGACCTCACCTAGCAGGTAACAGCCAGGGAACTCCTGCCCCCGAGCTCCTCAGAGCTGTTTCTCTGCAGGGCAGAGTCCCTGCCACGGTGCAGTCACAGAAGATAGGAACTTCGCTGCTCTGTTAAAGAGTCGCTACGCCACGGCTTATTAATGTACCTGGGTAAATACACCTTCCCCTCAAGCCAGCACTGACCTGGTTCATAGTAAAAGTGAAACAAGTTTATTAACTAAAGAGCCTGGTCAGATGATACCAAGGAAAAGGGATAAAGGCAGAGACGGTTACAAGCACATAAAAGTGACAATGCGCATCTAAATGTCTAAACCGTAACCCAGCCAGATCCAGTCGGTGTTCAGGATGGTTTCTGTCACCCCCGTCTCCTTTCCAGCTTTCCACAGGCCAGCCTGGCCAGGGCCTAACACAGCGATCGGATCGCTTGGTTTCTTTGTCTCCTGAGGTGAAGGATTAAAAATGGTGTTTCCCTCTGTTCCTTATACCCCTCAGGGGATGTCTTTATCTTACAAGTCAGGAAGGGCCCTGGAGTCAGTCTCCTGTGTCTCTCGGGGTGCAGGAGCCATGTTAATTCTGGTTCTCAAGTTCAGTTCCAGGATAATCCCCACTGATTTAGCTCCATGGCTTTGTGTACTGCTAATCTGTACATTGAGGGAAACCCACATTCCTTTGTCTAGGACAGACTCCTGTTTGTCTCCTTTACCTGGGCTCAGCTGTCGAGTCTTAAACACATTCTAATAGCATCATACAGAGGAAATTCATAATGTTGCATGTAAGGTTAACTCATGCCTGTTACAATGCTATCAATAACCAGCATGTCATTAGCCTTCCTGTGACCCCTCACAAGGCACATTTTATGCAAATATGCTTGTAGCAGTGTTGCGGGTGTGAGTCCAGGTGTGCCTGGGCACACAGACTGCCTTTGTCTTGGCTCCTGCCCTGCCTGGGTAATGGGTGCTCCCGTATCCCTGAGACTGGCCGCTCTAGGGAATGTCCGTGGGGAAGCAGGGGGTGGGAGTGGGAGTCGGGACAGAGATCAGTTTCTGACTCTGCCCGATCCTTGGGCTGGTTCCTGCACCCTCCTGTGCTTCAGCTTCCCCTCTGGAGGTGGAGACAGTGACAGGTGCTGCTGTGCATGAGGGATGGCAGGAAAGCCTCTACCCGCTTTGGGCCTGCACAGCGCTTTGAGATCCCTGGATGGAGCAGAGATCTCTGTGTGACTGGTGTATGGGGAGGCCCTGCCAAGTCAGTGGGCAAGGACTGCAGGCCCTGGCCCAACAGGCATGTCCCTGGTGATGAGTGAGGGCTGTCTCCTTGTTGCCTCACCAGGTCTCGTGAGTGGGAGGTGCCCCAGAGGAGCTGGCTGGTGGTACTGGGATGGACATTGTTACTATGTGGAGGAGAGCGATGCCAAGACATGGCAGCAAGCGGAGGCAGCCTGCAGTGCCTCTGGAGAAGGCATGGGGCTGCTGGCTCTCAACAGCCTGGAGGAGAAGGTACAGGGGGCCGTGCATGGTCTGAGGCAGGACACCTGGGCCCCTCCCTAAGCAGAACAGGAGCCTTCCTAACTCCAACCCCTGGCTGCTCTCTCTGTCTGCCTGTGTGCAGGAAGGCAACTCCTGGGCCCAGGGCTCCTTTCGCCAGGTTCTTCTCACTGACAGTCACTGCAGTGAAACACCCTGGAGCCGCCTTGCATTTCCCCCACTGTACCTGGTCCTGCCAGTGCTGCTGTGTCTGGTGGGGTAGCAGCCCAGGGAAAGGGTGAGAGGGCCAGCTGAGCTCCTTGGGTAGAAGAAATTGCTGCAGGACGGGGCTCTCCAGAGTCCTGGCCACATGCCTGCTCCCTGCTGGGCTCTGCCCATGGGGTGGGAGGAGCCCGGAGGGGCTTCCTCTGGCTCTCAGTTCAGCCTCACAAGGAGGACAAGCCGTTTCCTCACATCCAGTGCATCCTTTCTGTGCACAGGGGCCCATGGCCTCTGGCTACTGGGCACCTACCCTGTGGGTGACGTGGGGCATGTCCTGGCTGGAGCTGGCTCGGCAGGAAGGGATAGCAGCAATGTGCCCATCGAGTGCAGTGGGCAGAGTGGGAACCCCTCCCTATGGGGAGGCTCCAGGGGTAGTCCCCTCTCTAGAGGGACACATGAAGCCACTTCCCTGTGCTGCCCCCTTTCCAGTCACTGAGTGGCGGGGCGGGAAGTCTGGATACACTCCATGTGCTCTGCACCCTCCCCCAGGATGTGCTCAGGGTAGCAGAATGCCAGGTAGCCAGGAAGGAGTTTAAAGGGGCCATGGGGCAGGGTGAGCTCCTCCTGGCTGATTGTACCCCCTGCCTCTTGCCCCAGGACTTGCCCTACATGTCTCCTTCCTTCTGGGCTGCCCTTGGCTACTTACTACCCCACAGGCCCTCCCTAAGCTCTGAGTCAGAGAGCGGAGATGTGCCCTGCGCTGACTGAGGTCCTGACTCCATGCAGGCCTGGGTGACAGCCATGGTGCAGAGGGACAGCTGGACTGGGCTGAATGACCTAGATGGCGATGGCAGCTGGACGTGGGCAGTGGCTCAGTATGCAGATGGTGCTGCCCCCTGGTGAGCATGTAGCTGACAGTAGGGGAGTGCTGGTGTGTTCCTTTGGGGTGGGGATACTCTCACACAGACAGGTGTGTTTGGCCTCCAGCGGCTCAGCTCAGCCTGCTGTCCTGGGGACAGTAATACCTGGCGCTGCTACTGCATAGGGGGTAGTGCTCACTCCCTAGTTGGGCCTGGTCGTGCAGCAACGAGACCTGAGCCTCTCTCCAGCCAGTCCTACTCACCTGCCCACCCTTGCAGAGCGGCTGGCACGGCCTGTGTACAGGGGCACTGTGAGGGACTGTAGATGAGTCCAGCACTCCTCCAGGGGATCAGCTACATGGGGTGGCATCCCCCTTTGCTCCCTCACCCATGGAGCCTGGGGCGTTTCTCCCCCTCCCCTCGCTGCCTGTGGGGACAGGCGCCTCGGGTGTTTCTCTCCCCCCACCCATCTGTGGGGCTGGGGCCTTCTCCATTGTTCAGGGACTGAGGTACCTCCTGAACCCCCCTCCATGCTGCATGCCCCCATCAGTAGGCCCAGAGTGTGGGGCATTCTGCCCAGGTGGAGGTGCCCACCATACCCATCTCTGTCCAGTGGGCTAAGGATGTGGCCCTTTCCATGGGAGGTGTTTCTGAGGGTTCCCCTGGACTGAGGTGTGAGCTGCAGGGGCTCCCTGCAGTGCATTGTCTTGTGTGGCAAGGCTCTGGCTGCTGCTAGAGAGACCATTCTGTGCTTCCGCCCCAGGCTGGCTGGTGTGCCGCTCCTTCTAGGAGGCTGCGTGAGCATCGGAGCCCTGGGGGACTCTGGCCTCACCGTGTCCAACTGTTCAGGACTCAAGCCATGGGTCTGCGAAGGAGTGGAGGGTAAGTACCTGCCAAGCTGCCCCAATGGAGAATTCAGTGCTGAGACCCTCGGGACAGCTCCTTGTCTCCTGTCAGGGAGTGGGTTGAAGGCTTCTGCATGGTAACAGTTCATTGTGCTTCGAGCATGGTCTGTGGGCCTGGTGTACAGCTGGCCGGGGGTACAAATGTCCTGACTTCCATACTGCAGCCTTAGCTGCCCTGATGTGATGACACAAATGCTGGCAGTTCTTATAGGCTAATCACACTGTGGGCACCTAGGTCTGGCCCGAGGCCTGTGCTGGCTAAGTGACCTTCACCTGGGGAAGATGCTGCTGCTGGGCCAGGGAGTCCCTATTTGTGAGCCCTACTGGTGCTGCTGGGTCTGAAGAATGCTGGCAGGGGTGTCATTCCCTGTTCCTTCTGGCTCTTTGGCACTTTTGCTCACTGGAGTTGCCAGTTTTGCTTTCCAATGCTCTGCCAGAGGCAAGGCTGGGGGCAGGGACCTGCTGACCTACAAAGGAGGGAAACCAGCTGGCCACCTGAGGGCTCAGATAAAGCCTGGGGCAAGGAAAGTTCAGTTCAGTTCCAATTGTGGGAAGATCTCCGCTCAGTGTGGGGGGTGCCACCAGGGGTGGAACTCACTTCCCAAGAGGCACGACAGGAGTCTGTGGCACAGGGTCTCCTCAAGCCACGCTTGGTGAGCATCTCCAGTGTGTGCTTATGAATCGGAGGCCCCCACTGCTCTGGATACATAGGCATAGGTCCCCGGAGCAGGATAAGTGAGAGCAGACACAGCTCAGACAGTGGCAGGAAGCAAGAAGCAAAGCGGGTCAGGGTTGACTATTGAGAAAGTAGGCTAGGGTCTAGCCCAGCTCGGCATGCCCCGGCAACTGCAGCCCGGCACAGCCCAGCACCCCATGGCAGACACAGTCCAGCCCAGGATGCTGTTTGCCATGGCGTGTTGTGTGGGGAATGGTACACTATAGCCCAGCCTCCATCTGGGTAAACAGAAAATTTAAAGCGAGAATGCGAGCTCGGGCTGAAAAGACCAAAAAGGTGAGAGTGGGTAAGGATTGCATGGGCATTAGCCCGGGGGGTGGGGGTGTGTGCATGCCTGCCTGCCTGCCCTGAGAGGCGGGCTGGGCCCAGAGTTGGGTCATGTTTTTGAGTTTGGACTGAGTGGGGGGTTCTGTGGTTCTTCCTGATCAGTTCCTGCCCTGCCCACCCCACCCCCCGCTACCTGCCTGCTTGGACACTCGCTGCTATTCCACAAGTGACTCTCTCTGTCACGGAGATGATCCTGAGCCCTTGTTTCTGAGACAAGGTTTTCTCTCCATGGCAGTTCCCTGGAGCCGCTGTCCCACAGAACCTGGCTGGAGACACTGGAATGGTAGCTGCTACTACTGGGACTTGTCCTTGGCCAGCAGCACCTGGCAGGAGGGGCTGCAAGTGTGTCGGCAGTTCAGACAGACTGAGTTGCTGTATCTGACCTCGCGCCAGGAGAAGGTGAGAACCAGAGAGCCCAACCCAGCAGAGCACCAGAGACCCACTGGACTAGCACGCACCTCAGGCCTCCAAGAGGAGATGAGGTGGGGCAGGGCTCCCGGCCCTGCTGCTGGAACAGGACTTTAAGCTGGGGGCCATCGAACCCAGCTCCCCGAGCAGGCAGAGTCCTAACACTGGAACCAAGATGAGCCAGAGGACATAGACCAGGGTCTGAAGAACAGGAAGGGGGTGGAATAGGTTGATTTTAACTGTGTGTAGGAAACAAGGCCCCTGTCTCTCACACAGGTCCCTGTCTTCACACTGGGCTGCCTAACATCAGGCATCCAAATGCAGAGATGCTGAGCTTGCCGCTGAGCTTGCCACTGAGCTGCAGGGGTTCAGCGTTGCTGCTAATCAGTTTAGGACCTCAAGGCCCAACTGTTTAAAAATGCTGGCAGGAGTTGGGTGACCATGTTTCCCTATGCTGAATACAGGACACGTGGTAAAATTACTGGTATTCAAATGAGTTCAATGGCAACCAATCAGAACTATGCAGTACAAACATTCAAATTAACATCACGTTGATTGAGCCCGTTAAAAAGAAACCCTGCATAGTTGGATTCTTTTTATTTACCTTCTTATCTTTAAGGCTTTAGGCCTCACATGGGGAGAGGGGACTCACTCTCCTGTACACCTCTCTCACACAGATGGGTTACTGACCAACCTGATCCTCCCTGCCTGGCATTCTCTGCCTCCATGCCTGGCTGGGCCCTGGGACAGACCCACCTCTCCTAGTACAGGGCCTGTACTGTGTCTTCCCAAGGCAACGTGGGTGGGGGCACACAGGGTCCCCCTCCAGATTTCTGTCAGGATTCACACCAGAATGTGGCCAGCAGCAGCCTTTCGTCACTGTGTGGGAGGGAAGGGACAGGAGTTTCTTTCAGCTGCGGGAAAAGTGGGAGGAGAAGGGGTGACCTGGCCTGTGTCTTTGCAGAGCTCATCCCTTCCCTTCCCTGGTGGCTGAAAGCAGCTTGTCCCTTCCTACCTGCACAGTGTCGAAAGGCAGCTAATACCCCTGGGATGCTGCTGGCCACTGACCTAACCCAGCCACCTCCTGTCCCCTGGCTACAGTGTGGGCAGGAAGGGGTTAAGCCTTGGTATGTGGAGGGCTCGGCTCCTCCTGGCCAGTGCCCTGGGCTGGAGGGTTTTGGGCTTTCCCGGGGCACCGGCCCAGCTGGAGTAAGTGGGGGAAGGAAAGAACCTGCCGGCCAGGCTGCTGATGAACTGAGCACTCCGACCAGGGGCTGGTTCTATGCACAGCACTGGGAGCAGAATGTGCCCCTGGAGGGGCGGGTGGGCAGAAGAGGTGACACTTAACCAGCTGGTGCCTGTCCGCAGTCACCGCAGCACGCAGTCAGTGCTGGCCGGAAACTGGATGTGGGGCGGGGCTGTGGTGGCCGATAGCCAGCACGCAGTGGAGGCTACGCTGACAGACCAGCAGGGGGAGTGGCCTGCCCCACATGCTGTATCTTCACCCCACAACCAGTCTTGCACACCCACCCCCATCGTCAGCACCTGTAGGTGGGTGGGCGTCTGGCCAGCAGGGATCCATCCAGCAGCAGGACCCACCAGTACTGACTGGGGGAGACAGAAAATACGGGACAATTTGCATGTTTTAAAGAAAGTCAGGACACTTGCAGGAGGGCTTAAATACAGGACTGTCCCTTTAAAAATAGGACATCTGGTCACCCTACACAGGAGTGTAAGAGAATGTCCTGCCCCCCAGTCCTGAGACTGTCCTGTTTCCTTCCAGGACTGGATATGTTCAAACTTCAGGGGTGTCTTCTGGACAGGCCTGAATGATCAGATGGATGAATCCGTATTTCAGTGGACTACAGGCGATCCCATCACCAGGCAGCTCGCAGAGTGAGCACTTGGCTTTCCTGATACTTGTTGACATGGACATTATGTGAAAGCTGTTATGGCAGGGCCTGTAGGAGTCTTGGCCAGGCAGAGGCACACAGGAATCAGCAGGCTGGATCAGATGTCAGTCCATTTAGTCCAGTGTGCTTCTGACAGTGGCCAGGATAAGACACTTACTACAGGGAAGGTGTTTGAAACCCTGCACTAGGCAATTTGGGAGTAAACCTCCCATAAGAAAAGTTTCTTCCTAAATCCCAGCAGTGGATTCTGGCTCTTGCACTGAAGCATGGGGAAGGAGTACTTGTGGCACCTTAGAGACTGAGCATGGGGGTTTCTTTCTCTGAATGTTATCCCATCTGATGGTTGGGCATGTCCTCATTATCCAGAGAAGTCTCCCCTCCTTTGGGAACTGCTGCTAAACTATTGCTGTGCTAGTGATATGGAAACTGGGACTGAAACCCAGTAAAAACATCCCAGCGAGGGGCCACCAAATGCCCACTGGGTGGGAAGAGCTGTTCATCTTTGTGATCAGGGCTGGATTCACACACACCTCCCCTACAGGTGGAAGGCTCTGTAGCTCATTAGCACCACCCTGAGGCAGCCAGCCCCGTACAGTGCTGATGTGCCACCGTGGAGAGCGAAGTTGTGTTCTGGATAGAGACATCGGTTCAATCAATCTGACCTTTGTGGCGCTCACACGAGTCAAGTCTTCTGCTCTCTTCACCCACAAGCAGTGGTCTTGCCCCACCCAGGCCATTAGCCAAGTCTGAACACAGAACCTCCAGATACACAGCCCAGATCTCCACCCGCTGTAGCTATAGGAGGAGCCGTGGGGAGAGGCCTGCTATCATCCCCTTCAGGGAGCAGCTATTTGTGAGCTAGCACTAAAACATTGGGTGTCAGGGATTCCTGTCTTCTGTGCCTGGCTCTGGGAGCTGAGGGGTCTGGGGGTCTGAGGCAGCGTAGCCCTGATTGGGACACCTGCAGGAAATGAACCTGAGATCTCTAGACCTAAAAGCACCAGTTTCTGCCACTTGAACAAAAGGGCTGTTCCTGGTAGCTCAGAGCAGTGGCAGAGTCCTGAATCGCTATATGTGGTCTAGCCACTAGATGGGGACAAAGGTCCACACTCTGAGCGTGTGTTGCGTACGTTCTTGACCTACATTCCCAGGAGAATTTCCCAGGAAAGCTTGGTGGATTTTTTCATCACTGAGAATTTTTAAATCAAGGCTGGATGTTTTTCTGAAAGCTCTGCTCCAGGGGTTATTTGGGGGCAGTGCTCCAGCCCATGCTATGCAGGAAGGTCAGACTAGCTGATCACAGTGGTGGTAGTTTCTGGCACTGGAATCTGTGATGCTGAACAGAACGCTTCATCCGAAGGCCCGACCTCCTTTAAAGTGACCGTTCACAATTTGGCCACTAAATGACCCCCAGATTAAAAAATCACTACTCAAGCAAAAAAACTGAGGAGTCCTTGTGGCTCCTTAGAGACTAACAAATTTATTTGGGAATAAGTGTTTGTGGGCTAAAACCCACTTCATCGGATACATGCAATGGAAAATACAGTAGGCAGTTATATGTACAATGTTTGTCTGATTTATGTCCATTTATTCTTTTGCATAGAGATTGTTCAGTTTGGCCAATGTACATGGCAGAGGGGCATTGTTGGCACGTATCACATTGGTAGATGTGCAGGTGAACAAGCCCCTTATGGTGTGGCTGATGTGACTTAGGTCCTGTGATGATGTCCCTTGAATAGATATGTGGACAGAGTTGGTAACGGGCTTTGTTGCAAATCAGACATCAAGAACTATAACATTCAAAAACCAGGTTTCAGAGTAACAGCCGTGTTAGTCTGTATTCGCAAAAAGAAAAGGAGGACTTGTGGCACCTTAGAGACTACTCAATTTATTTGAGCATAAGCTTTCGTGAGCTACAGCTCACTTCATCGGATGCTTATGGTCAAATAAATTGGTTAGTCTCTAAGGTGCCACAAGTATTCAAAAATCAGTCGGAGAACACTTCAACCTCCTTGGTCACTCAATTTCAGACCTAAAAGTCGCAATTCTCCAACAAAAAAACTTCAAAACCAGACTCCATCAAGAAACTGCAGAACTGGAATTAATTTGCAAACTGGATGCCATTAAATTAGGCTTGAATAAAGACTGGGAGTGGATGGGTCATTACACAAAGTAAAACTATTTCCCCATGTTTATTTTTGTCCCCCCTACTGTTCCTCACACGTTCTTGTCAACTGCTGGAAATGGCCCACCTTGATTATCACTACAAAAGGTGTGTTTTTTTTCTCTCGCTGATAATAGCGCACCTTAATTAATTGGTCTTGTTACAGTGTGTATGGCAACACCCATTTTTTCATGTTCTCTGTGTGTATATATAATCTTTCTACTGTATTTTCCACTGGGTGCATCTGATGAAGTGGGCTTTAGCCCATGAAAGCTTATGCTCAAATAAATTGGTTAGTCTCTAAGGTGCCACAAGGACTCCTCGTCCATGTTGCTGATGCAGACTAACACGGCTGCTACTCTGAAACCTGTACTCAAGCAAGCTGCTCTAGTACAGCAGGCTGCATGCCTGGTTCCTCAGCTGCTCCTTCCAGTTGCAGAGATGTGTGTTTTGCCACTGCTTTCAGCTGTGCTGGAGGGAGCATCAGACACAGCATAACCCAACTGCTCTCTGTAAGGGCAGGTCTGTGCCAGGGCCTCCTGGGAGTTCCCACCTTCCTACCCAAAGGGAAGCACCTCCAGGCAGGCTAGGGGAATGAGGCTGCTGAAAGGAAGGGGTGGTGAGCAGCGCTGGGCGTAGGGGGCATGACAAGCAAACCAGGGCTAAGCCGAGTGCTGGGACTGGCCACTGCTTGCTACACAGTAACAGCTCTGCTGTTCATTTATGTTTTGGGGAAGGCACTTACGAGACGACCTGGCAGATGGCGGCCTGAAGGATTGTGTGTGGCTGGATACAGCAAGTGGACTTCTAACAGATGCCAGCTGTGAGGAGAGAAAGCCATTCATCTGCAAGTGCAGCGAGGGTAAGGGACTAGCCAGTGCCAGCCCAGAGCCTGAGCCCCACACTGGCTTTCCCAGGAGCAGGATAGGCTGCATTGACATCCCTGGGGACTGAGTCCTTTATTTAACCCCAGAGCAGGTGCAGCCTGGGCTCTGGCAGTGGGAGCTGCCCTACCCACCTCCTCTGCCATGGGAGGAGGCTGACAGAGTAACCTGTTCTTTGTGGCCTAGTTGGTCCTTGGCCCTGCCATTATGACTGCCAATAAGTGGGCAAAGCAGTGTCTGTTGTAGGGCTGGATAGAGAACAGGATAGACCGGGACCTCTCAGCTCATTTCCCTCTGGGGCCAGCTAACAGCCCTGGCTTTAGTCCCTCCCAGCCCAACAGAACTGCAGAGAGATGCTTGCTGGCTTCCCAGCTTGCGACGGCCTCTCCAGTGGGAGTGCAGTGTCACCCCTGACCCCAGCCATTGCTCACCAAGGTCCTGTGTCTGGTCAGTGGCCAGAGGAGTAATGTGGGGCTGCTTTGAATCTCCTTGATTCAGGGAGGTTCTTCTTTTGTGACATGTCTTCTCTCACTCTTTGTATAAAGCTCCTCTGTGCCTTGACCTGCCTCGGGCTCTGTCAGCTCATAGGGGGCTGGCTCAAGTGAAATTTCTGAGCTCTCCAGGAGTGCAACTCTCTAGTTCTGCAAAAAGAAAAGGAGTACTTGTGGCACCTTAGAGACGAACAAATTTATTTGAGCATAAGCTTTCGTGAGCTACAGCTCACTTCATCATCGGATGCATGCAGTGGAAAATACAGTGGGGAGACTTTGTAAACACAGAGAACATGAAACAATGGGTGTTACCATACATACTGTAACGAGCGTGATCAGGTAAGGTGAGCTATTACCATCAAGAGAGGGGGAAAAAACCTTTTGTAGTGATAATCAAGGTGTGCCATTTCCAGCAGTTGACAAGAACATGTGAGGAACAGTGGGGGGGGGGAAATAAACATGGGGAAATAGTTTTACTTTGTGTAATGACCCATCCACTCCCAGTCTTTATTCAAGCCTAATTTAATGGTGTCCAGTTTGCACATTAATTCCAATTCTGCAGTTTCTTGATGGAGTCTGGTTTTGAAGTTTTTTTTTGTTGGAGAATTGCGACTTTTAGGTCTGAAATTGAGTGACCAAGGAGGTTGAAGTGTTCTCCAACTGGTTTTTGAATGTTATAGTTCTTGATGTCTGATTTGCAACAAAGCCCGTTACCAACTCTGTCCACATATCTATTCAAGGGACATCATCACAGGACCTAATCACATCAGCCACACCATAAGGGGCTTGTTCACCTGCACATCTACCAATGTGATATGTGCCAACAATGCCCCTCTGTCCGGTACATTGGCCAATGTACATGGCAATCTATACGCAAAAGAATTAATAGACATAAATCAGACCACAAAAATTATAACATTGTACATATAACTGCCTACTGTATTTTCCACTGCATGTATCCGATGAAGTGGGTTTTAGCCCACGAACGCTTATTCTCAAATAAATTTGTTAGTCTCTAAGATGCCACAAGGACTCCTCGGTTTTTTTTTGCTTGAGTAGTGATTTTTTAATCTGGGGGTCATTTAGTGGCCAAATTGTGAACGGTCACTTTAAAGGAGGTCGGGCCTTCGGATGAAGCGCTCTGTTCAGCATCACAGATTTTAGTGCCAGAAACTACCACCACTGTGATCAGCTAGTCTGACCTTCCTGCATAGCTATATGTGGTCTAGCCACTAGATGGGGACAAAGGTCCACACTGTGAGTGTGTGTTGCCTACATTCCTGACGTACATTCCCAGGAGAATTTCCCAGGAAAGCTTGGTGGATTTTTCATCACTGAGCATTTTTAAATCAAGGCTGGATGTTTTTCTGAAAGCTCTGCTCTAGGGGTTATTTGGGGGCAGCGCTCCAACGCTATTGTGGAAAAGCAGCATCACTTGCCCCAGGAAAAGTATTCCTTTTCTTTTTGCGGATACAGACTAACACGGCTGCTACTCTGAAACCTCTCTATTTCTGCAGAGTTTAGGAGCTTGCCAGAACTGCTGCCTCCTCCAGCCCCTTAGCAGCCTCTTCTGGGAGTGCTTCCCAGTGAGCTCTGCCCTCCAGATCCTTCCCCTCTACCCCCACACACGACCCACTTGTCCAGGAGCACTACTAAGCCAAGGGGGGTTGGGATGCCTGGGAGGGAACCTGCAGAGTTTAAAAGCAGGTTCCTAAGATTGGGAGGGCCTAGTTTATGGTAATTAGTTTGTAATTACATCATCTTTAGAAGCCTCTTCCTTATAACCACAGGCAAATCATCCTTTTATTATTAATTTGAGCTGAAAATAACCCCTAGCACCATGGCAGTCACAGAAAGCATCTTGCCTTTGATCTTTAATTACTTGTAATTTTGCAAGGAATTAAACTCTTCAAGCCAAGTAACAACAATTTGGCACATAGTCTTAACCCCTTCCTTTGTGCCTGTAGCAATAGCAAGGTGTACACAGACTAGATCTTAATTCTCCTGGCACTGAGTATCCTCCTCGCCTTCCAAACAGATGTCCTTGTTCTCCTGTTCCCAAGCAACACACAGCGCTGCTTTTATCAGCCTGGCTGGGGGAGAGGAGCGCAATGAGGGGCAGCAGCAGGAGGAATTCAAATAAAAATGGAATTTTAAAATGTGCTGGATTTGGAAGGAGGATCACATTCTGCTCCAGAATGTCCCATCCCTGGCAGAATGAGAAGCCCCTGTTCCTGCTGGGCCTTGGGGGAAGCTGAGAGCCCTAGCACAGTCTGGGTGGGAGAACAGATTTCCAACATAGCTGTGCTGCTGTGTGCCCCCCCCATTCCCATCACTGCCCCCCTGGGTGCATTTGTGCTCCCCCCGCCCCGCTTTGAAAGCCATTACTTTCTCCTCAGCTTCCTTCATGCCGCCTCACAGGCTCCAGCCGTGTGTCCCAATCAGAAAGTGGGACAGCACTGCGCCCAGTCCTGTCCCTGTTCTACCTCCCTCACAGCCGCTTGCACTTCCTCCTGCCCCAGAGCATCCTCCTGTGCTGCCTGTTCCCTGCCACCCCTTTTGGCTTTAGTTGTGGCTGGGGTTTGAGGCTGGCTGTGGCTTGCTGGGGACACACCGAGAACTCTGAACTCCTGGGTGGCTGCGGTTCCTGGTCATTGTCATGTGCACTGCCGAAACCTGCAGCAGGACCATCATGCTGGGGCTGCAAGGGGTTAGTGCAGGGCCTTCGCTGGCTGTGCTGAGTGGAAGCGAGGCTGTGGCTCGCAGCTGGGTATCTGACAGCACAAGTGTTTCACGAGAGACCCAGAGAAATTGTTTTTTCACCTCTGCTTCCCCCAGCTACCGAGTGGTTTGTGAAGCAGCTTGGCCGGGGCGTGGTGGGAGACCCAGCATTCCTACACCCCTCTGCCGAGAGCCTGGAGAAGGCCAAGCAGGAGTGCCTCCGCGAGAGGAGCGTGTGCACAGCCGTTCTGCAGGCTGGGACAGGCTTCTACCTGATCGGCTCCATGGCTGGCATCATCTCCCGACCCAATTCCACACTCTACATATGGACCAGTAAGGGCAGATCCCCGCTCAAATGCCTCCCACCCTCATATCTGCAGAGATAGCATGGCTTTGTGCTGAGAGCAAGGCATTGCGGGCCTGATCCTACTCTGCCTGGATCCTCTGCCAAGTGATTGACACCCATGCAAGGGGAGTGCCTGGGTGTTGGTGCAGGATGGTAGAGGATCAGGCCTGGGGACTCGGCAGACCTGGGTTCTAGTTTTAGCTCTGCCACTGATCTGCTCTGTGACTTGGGTCAGTCAAGCCCATCAATCAGTGCCTCAGTTTTCCCCCGGCCCTAGATTCACTGTTGGGCTGCAGGGCACACAAACTGGGAATAACCCTGGTGCGGGCGGGCATCTGCATTGCCTGTATCACAGCCTCTGGCACAGGGCATGCTCCAGCAGGCTGGGGGCAGGGCAGAGACAGGCTGGGAGCTGGGTATTGGCGGGAGGGAGAAGAAGGAGGCATGGCTGGGGAGGTCCTATGCCCTGTTGATTCTGTACCTCTACACAGCCCCATAGGGGCTACTGCAACAGGGGTGCAGGTCAGGACCGGCATGTCCTTTGTCCTGGTGCCAGTGCAGGAGGAGTCTGTTAGCCCAGTTGTGCAACACTTGCTCTGCTCTGTGAGGTTGTCAGACCTGGGAGCAGGGGGCTGGGTGGGTGCCAAGGGCTAGATCTGTTTGCTCAGCCTATGGCCTGGTGCGGTCTGCTGAGCATCCTCTCCTCTTTGGTTGCAGTATGTGCTGAGGGGTTCAGCGGCCTGCGCTGTCACAGACACGCTGCCCCCCAGCAGCGACCAGCGTGTGACTGCAGTGGCAGAGTCCGGGTGTCAGCAACCCAAGGTGAGAGCCCTGGCCCGTCTGCGGCCTGGTCTGGTGAGGTGAGAAGAGGGGCTGGCTGTGGCAGGAGCCTCGGGCATGTCCTTCCATAGGGGATGTTAATTGGGAATCCTACAAAAAGTGGAAACGATGAATTGCTAAAGAGGATTACAAAAGAATAGCACAAGCATAGGATCGTAGAACTGGAAGGGACCTCAAGAGGTCATCTAATCCAGTCCCTTACACTCGTGGTGGGACTAATTATCTAGGCCATCCCTGACAGGTGTTTGTCCAACCTGCTGTTAAAAATCTCCAATGATGGAGATTCCACAACCTTCCTGGGCAATTTATTCCACCCTGACGGGAAGTTTTTTCTAATGTCCAATCTAAACTGCCCTTGCTGCAATTTAAGCTCATTGCTTCTTGTCCTACCCTAGAGGTTAAGAAAAACAATTTTTCTTCCTCCTCCTTGTAACAACCTTTTACGTACTTGAAAACTGTTATCTTGTCCCCTCTGTCTTCTCTTCTCCAGACTAAACAAACCCAATTTTTTCAATATTCCCTCCTAGGTCATGTTTTCTAGACCTTTAATCATTTTTATTGTTCCTCTCTGGACTCTCTCCAATTTGTCCATATCTTTCCTGAAATGTGGTGCCCAGAACTGGACACAATACTCCAGTTGAGGCCTAATCAGAGCAGAGTAGAGTGGAAGAATTACTTCTTGCTTACATCACTCCTGCTAATACATTCTAGAATGATGTCCCCCCCCGCTCTTTTTTTTTTTTTTTGCAACAGCGTTACACTGTTGACTCATATTTAGCTTGTGGTCCACTGTGACCCCCAGATCCCTTTCCGCAGTACTCCTTCCTAGGCAGTCATTTCCCACTTCGTATGTGTACAACTGATTGTTCCTTCCTAAATGGAGTACTTTGCATTGGTCCTTATTGAATTTCATCCTATTCACTTCAGATCATTTCTCTAGTTTGCCCAGATCATTTTGAATTTTAATCCTATCCTCCAAAGCACTTGCAACTCCTCCCAGCTTGATATCGTCCACAAACTTTAAGTGTATTCTTTATGCCATTATCTAAATCATTGAAGATATTGAATAGAACTGGACCCAGAACTGATCTCTGCGGGATCCCACTCATTATGCCCTTACAGCATGACTGTGAACCACTGATAACTACTCTCTGGGAACGGTTTTCCAACCAGTTTTGCACCCACCTTATAGGAGGTCCATCTAGGTTACATTTCCATAGTTTGTTTATGAGAAGGTCATGTGAGACCGTATCAAAAGCTTTACTAAAGTCAAGATATACCACATCTACCGTGTGTCCCCCATCCACAAGGCTTGTTACCCTGTTAAAGAAAGCTATCAGGTTGGTTTGACATGATTTGTTTTTGACAAATCCAGGCTAACTGTTACTTATCCCCTTATCTTCTAGATGTTTGGAAATTGATTGCTTAATTATTTGCTCCATTATCTTTCCAGGTACAGAAGTTAAGCTGACTGGTCTGTAATTCCCTGGGTTGTCCTTATTTCCCTTTTTATAGATGGGCATTATATTTTCCCTTTTCTAGTCTTCTGGCATCTCTCCCATCTTCCATGCCTTCTCAAAGATAAGCATATAAATCAGACAAAATCAAAAACGCTAAGGCACAAAATGGATTACACCGAGCAAGGGACATAAAAGCATAAGAAAAAGTTCTTTAAATACATTAGGAGCAAGAGAAAGACAAAGGAAAGTGTAGGTCCTCTACTTAGTGGGAAGGAGAGCGAACAACTGATAACCTTAAGAAGGGTGAGATATTTAATGCCAATTTTGTTTCAGTCTTCGCTAAAAAGGTTAAGGTGACCAGATTAATATTAACAACAAGGGGGAAGGAACACAAGCCAAAATAGGGAAAGAAGAGGTTAAGGAATATTTAGATAAATTAGATGTATTCAAATTGGCAGGCCTGATGAAATTCATCCTAGGGTACTTAAGGAACTAAGTGAAGCAATCTTGGAACCTCTAGCAATTATCTTTGAGAACTTCTGGAGGATGAGTGAGGTCCCAGAGAACTGGAGAAGGAAAAACATATCACCTGTCTTTAAAAAGGGGAACAAATTGGATCTCGGGAATAATAGACCAGTCAGCCTAATTTCAATACCTGGAAAGATACTGGAACAAATCAATAAACATTCAGTTTGTAAGCACCTACAGGATAACAGGGTTATAAGGAATAGTCAGCATGGATTTGTCAAGAACAAATCATGCCAAACAACCTAATTTTCTTCTTTGAGAGGGATGCTGCCCTAATGGATAGGGAGGAAGCATAGATGTGGCATATCTTGATTTTTATTAAGGTTTTTGACACAGCCCCACAGGACGGTCTCATAAGCAAACGAGGGAAAACGTGGTCTAGATGAAATTACTATAAGGTGGGGGTGCACAACTGGTTGAAAGATTATACTCAGTGGTTTTCTGTCAAACTGGGAGTGTGTAGTAGGCCCCACAGGGGTTACACCTGGGTCTGGCACTAGTCAGTATTTTCATAAACGACTTGGATAATAGATTGGAGAGTGTGCTTATAAAATTTGCAGATGACAGTAAGCTGGGAGGGGATGCAAGACCTTTGGAGAACAGGATTAGAATTCAAAACAACCTTGACAAATTGGAGAATTGGTCTGAGTTCAACAAGACGACATTCAGTGAAGATGAGTGCAAGGCACTACGCTTGGGAAGGAAAAGTCATGCGCACAGCTACAAAATGGGAAGGAACTGGCTAGGCGGTCGTGCTCTGGGGGTTATACTGGGTCACAAATCGAACAGGAGCCAAAAATGTGATGCAGATGCAAAAAAGAGGCCTCTAGTTCTGGGGTGTATTAACAGGAGTGTTGTATGCAAGGCCAGATCTGCACTATAAACTTAAATACTATCCTATAAACGCAGCACTCAAAATCCACACGCCTGAGCAATGCAGTTGTACCAACTTAACCCCTGTTGCAGACCGCACTGTGCTGATGGGAGGGCTTCTCTGTCGACGGGGCTCCTGCCTCTCCAGGCGCGGATTAACTAGCTCCATGGCAGAAGCGTCTTCACTGGAGCGCTCGAGCGGCGCAGGTGTATTAGTGTAGCGGCACTGCCCTGTTTTGTGTGTGGACCTGCCCTAAGACTCGGGAAGTAAGTGCCCCCCTCCCCCCACCTGCTTGGCGCTGGTGAGGCCTCAGCTGGAGTCCGGTGGCCAATTCTGGGTGCCGCCCTTTAGGAAAGGTGGAGACAAAATGGAGAGAGTCCAGAGGAGAGCAACAGAAATGATGGGTCAGGTTTTCTAAATCTTTATGAGGAAAGATGAAAAAAAACTAGGCATGTTTAGTGTTGAGAAAAGAACACATGGGGAGACCTGGCAATAGTCTTCAGCTAAGTTGGCTGGTGTAAAGAGGACTATGATCGATTGTTCTTCATGTCCGCTGAAGGTAGGACAAGAAGCAATGGGCTTAGATTCATAGATTCCAAGGCCAGAAGGGACCATTGTGATAACTAGTCTGATCTCCTGTGTCCCGCAGGCCAGAGACCTGCCCCAAGATAATCCCTAGAGCAGAGCTTTTAGAAAAACACCTAGTCTTGACTGAAAAATTGTTAGTGATGGAGAATCTACCACATCCCTTGGTAAAGTGTTGCAACGATTAATTACTCTCTCTGTTTAAAAAAAAAAAAAAGAAAATTTAGGCCTTATGTCCAGTCTGAATTTGTCTAGCTTCAACTTCCAGCCATTGGTTTGTGTTATACATTTCTCTGCTAGAGTCCCCCACCCTGTCACTATGGCCTGCATTCTTTGTTCCTAGACAAATACATTTATATTTAGCCGTATTAAAACACATATTGTTAGCTTGCACCCAGCTTACTGAGTGATCAAGATTGCTCTGAATCAGTGACCTGTCCTCTTAATTTACTGCTCCCCCCACAATGTTTGTGTCATTTGCAAACTTTGTCAGTGATTTTCTTTTAGATCATTGACAAAGTTAAATAGTGTAGAGCCAAGAACTGATCCCTGTGGGACCCCACTAGAAACACACCCACTCAGAAAAGATTTCCTCTTTACAGTTACATTTTTGGAACCTATCAGCTAGCCAGTTTTTAATCCATTTAATGTATGACATGTTAGTTTTAATCTGCAGCAAGAGAGATTTAGGTTAGATATTAGGCAAAATTTTCTAGCTATTAAGGTAGTTAAACTATGGAATAGGCTTCCAAGGGAGGTTGTGGAATATCCTTCACTGAAGTTTTTAAGAACAGGTTGGACAAACACCTGTCAGGAATGGTCTAGGTTTACTGGTCCAGCTTAATGCAGGGGGGCTGGACTCGTTGACATCTTGAGATCCCTTTCAGACCCACACTTCTGTGCTTCTATATATGTGGGATCCCACACTGAGCGCCCCGCACTATGCTGCCCCCAGCAAGTAGCTGATCAGAAAATGGGTAACTGCCCATTTCACAGGTTTTGCATATTGTCAAAATATATTGTGTCCCCATCCCTGTGGCCTCTGGGTACATAACACATAAAGCAACCAACAGTTCATACCTAGCCCTGCTCCAGCCACCTCCACAAGAGACATCAAATGCAGAGACAAGGTGCATGAGATAATATCTTTTGTTGGACCAACTTCTGTTGGTCAAACTTTCGAGCCATACAGAGCTCTTCAGGTCTGGGACAGGTACACGGGGCATCACAGCAAACTGCAAGGTGGAACAGATTGTTTAGAATAAGTAGTTAGCTCATATTCTAAGGGACCATTCAAAGTGAAGTGGACCCTTAACATCTCTGCAAGTTATAGGACAAAAAGTGGGGTTAGTGGGTTACAGATTGTTGTAATAAGCCATAAATCCAGTGTCTCTGTTCAGTCCATGACTTTTAGTGTCTAACAGAGTTATGAATTTAAGCTCCCAGGCTCGACTTTTGAAAGCGTTGTGCAGGTTTCCTCGGAGAATGAGGACTAACAGATCAGATATGGAGAGATCGCTTTGTGAAAAGTGTTCATCCACAGGTGACAGGGTGTATTTTGTCTATCATTTTCCTGTGAGTTCATTCGAGAGTGAAGTGATTGTCTGGTTTCACCCACGTAGTTGTTGTTGGGGCATTTAGTGCACTGGATGAGGTACCCCACATGTGATTGGCATGTGTAGGATTCATGGGTCTTGGAAGGTGTGTTGTGCAGGGGTGTTGATCGTTGTAGCAGTGGAGATATGGCTGCAGGTTTTGCATCTGTTCTGGCAGGGCAGCCATTGCCTGTGTCTAAAAAGATGAGCCAAGCCCCACAGAGCTGGGGGTGGGGGTGGGATGTGTGCTCCTGTCATGGAGAACCTAGCTCCATCCCCGGCGAGCGTGGGGACAAAAGGAAGGGCTTCAGCTGATTTGTGCCGCCAGGACAGGCTGCAGGAGACTGGCAGGCTCAGGCATTGTCAGTGTTGGAGACCTTAGCTTATGCCTGAACGCCCATCTCCTGAATGGCACTGAGGGGTGGGGACAGGGCTCAAGAAGGCTGCTTAGACCCCTGCATTGCTGCATATCCACAAAAACAAGCTGCCTTCCTACTTCCCAGACTGTGTGTGTTCACATGGCTATCCAGACTGCTCCCCATGGCTCTGACCCAGACCTCCAGCTGAGCGTGGCTTCTTTCTCTTGTAACATACTCAGACTGATGCCTTGCACTGCAGCTAGAGGTGGGTGGGAACCAGGACCACACAGGGGGCACAGGACTAGTGGCTCATACTGCTGCTTTCTGCACTAGCCAAAGCTTATGTATAGTCTCCTGCAAGGTGCATTGCAGTATTGTAACCTGGGAAAGACACGGGGGTCGGTCTGGCCCATGGGAGCCTTGGGGGTCGGTCTGCATCACCAAGGAAGGCTGCAGCCTTCCAGCTAGCTGCAGCTGGAAGGATACTAATCCCTTGAGTGCTGTGCACACTGACGACTGAGCCTCTGGAGTGCCCCATGAGCCAGGTGAACAAGTAGTCCTAGCCCATATGATGCCAGTGGAGCTGAGGCAGGGAGAAGTCTGAGGGGCTTGCTCCCACAGCATGGAGCCAGGGTGAGAAATCGGGAGTTCCCAGCCTGTGCTGGAGCAGCTAACCATGCTGCACCTCGAGTGGGACGAGCCAGTTGGAGCAGGGAGAGTTCCCAGCCATTTCCAAAGGGTGCCTTGAATTCCTCCCGCAGCACTGGCGGCATGGCCAGCCCCAGGGTTCAAAGATCCTAGGTCAGGCCCCAAAATCGTGAGATTGGCTTTACAAATCTAGAGATTTGAAAGAAAAGACTTGCTGGGTTCTTGTACTGGCCTTGGGGGGTGTTCAGGCTTTTCTCCACAATCACAAGGGCTTGAAACTGAGTCTTTTTTAAAAATGGATGCTGAGATTCCACCTAATCCCACGACTCCAGGAGCTGGGACTTTCAGGAAAGCCTCAAATGTGATGAGACTATGATATAATCACGAGATGGCAACTCTAGACAGGGATAGTCAAGGGCCAGTGCTCTGCATGGCCTGGGCAGGCGTGGCCTGTGTTGTGGGACCCTGAGTCCTGTGTGGCCTGGGGTTGTGTTGTGGGACCCAGTGTTGTGTATGGCCTGAGCTTAGGTTTGCCAACCCTCCAGGAATTAAAGATTAATCTTTAATTAAACATAATGTCATGTGATGAAACCTCCAGGAATTCATCCAACCAAAGTTGGCAACCCTACTTAAGCTGTGTTGTGGGACCTAGTGTTGTGCATGGCCGGGGCAAGCCTGGGCTGAGTTGTGGGAGTCACGTGGAGCATTCCGGCTGGGGATTAGTGTTGAAATCCAAGCTTTGCTTTAGGACAGAATAATATCAAGCCCTTGGCATGTCAGGATAATTAAACCAGTTCCAGCTCTGCGCCTTTGGTGTTTCCAGGAGGTCTGGCAGGATGTGGGGCATTGGTTTGTCAAAGTACTTTTCTCCCTGGACTCTTCCAGGTAGAATGATTGGGAAGATCTCCCTTAAGGGGGAATGGATCCCATGATTCCCCACAGATCTGTAGGCAAGGTCTTGTACTGTTGGTGTCCAGAGCTCAGATACAATGGAGCTGCCAGTCCCCCTTCCTGCTGGTGCCCAGAGCTGTGCTCCTTCTATGTGACTGCTCAGGGCCTGGCTGGGGGGTTCCTGTGGCGAATGTACTGTCGGTGTCAGCTGGGAGCCTGCAGCCTAGACTCTGTTTATTCACAGGACAGGTCCAGTGTGGGTGGGGGCAGCAGCAGCGTCCCCCTTGCCCCACACCAGCTGGCGTTGTGCCTCAGACCCTACACTCACCCCCCATGTCCTGGTAGGCTGAGAAGGCTGCAATGGCTCAGTCAGTCTTGGGCCTCTCTGCTGAGATGCCAACAATGGTGCTTCCCTGCCCACTGGCAAGTGGGTTGAGAGCACCTGACTCGTCTCCCTGGATTGGGAGCTCTTCCGGGCAGAGACTGTGGGCTGGGTTCTCCAGTCTGAGCTGTGTAAGTGGCACCATGGGGCCATAGCAAAGTGACCCTAAGGCAGCTGGAGAATTCAGGGGGTTCTCGTAGGCAGGGGGCTCCATGCTGGGGTAAAGCTGGTGGCGGAGGCTCTGACACTTCCTGTGCCCGCTGCCCCCTTGCCCTTGGTGTAAACAGGAGGAGTGGGCGTGTTGGGAGGGAAGGGGCAGCGCTACCCCAGAGACCTTGTGCCTTTGGTGCCGTCCTGCCCTGGGCCGTGGCCCGGCAGCCCTGACTCGTGAGCTGCAGCCAGCATGGATGGTGTGGAGCCTGGAGCCCCATGTCATGCTCAGCGTCTCAGAGAGCTCGCTGCCAGAGCTGGGTACACAACAGCAACGGGCCATTGACCAGCAAGAAGCTGGGAACTTGTCCTCCGCTCCCCCTGCAGGATTGCCATTCTGGTTACTGCCACCTGTTGGATCCCAGCTGAGCCCACTGTGTGCATGTGTGTGGGTGGGAGTGAGTGTGCACAAGTATTTGTGTTTGAGGGTGCATACATTGTGTCCACACATGTGAGTGTGTGCACAGGTGCCTAAGAAGAAGTGACGTTTTGATTAGATTTCCAAATCTCTCTCTCTCTCTCCCACCCCTCACCCCTGGTGAAGTGATGCCTTTTATGCCAGTTCTTCCAAGGGCAAGATATTCACAGCCAAGTTCCAGAGCCTTGAAGAGAGCAGGCTGAAGCGGGAGCTGCCTGTGTCCTGACAGGGCCCTGGGGCTAGCACCTCGTAAAAGCATGAGGGCGAGGGCCTGGGCCGAGTCCAGGACGACGCCCCATGCTGAGCTGTTCGCTCTGCTCTGCAGAGCAGGGCACTGGATTATCACTTGCAGACAAACCCAACCCTCCACAGGGACTGGAACGCTGCCTTCTGGGGCTTGTCGTTCTTCAGCTACCCGACTGCTTGTTTGCCAAATTAATGGCCTGGAGCCACTTCTCTCAGGAGCTCGTTGTTGCGGGGCCAAGGTCCTGGGCGTTCAATATAGGTGCCCTTGTTGGTGGAGGTAGGTTGACCAGATGTCCTGATTTTTATAGGGACAGTCCTGATATTTGTTTTTTTTCTTATATAGGTGTCTATTACCCCCCCCCCCCAATCTGTCACGATTTTTCATACTTGCTATTTGGTCGCTCTAGGTGGAGGTGATGCCCCTGCACGCTGCCAGGGGATTGCGAGGACTCTGGGCTGGAGTTACACTCGTGCACACATAATCGATAAAACCCCACACCTGGACAGGAAACAGGCCCTGTGGAGGGCTGGCTCTTGCTGTCTGTCACATCTAGTTTGACTGTGAGGTTTCAGGGCGGTGCTGGGGCGTTCGTCACTCAAGGTCTGGTGGGGGGGTTGTCTCTCTGGGGAGAAGTTAACAGCCACTCGTGTCTCTTTGCAGTTTGTGGTGTCCCTGTGCAGAGCTGCATTGACTACTGTCGCCACACAACAGCCCAGAGCAACTGCTCTCTCTGCCTGCCCGTCTGCTCTGGTGAGTCCTCATCGCCCATGGCCTAGCTGGCTGCTTTTGTGCCCTGGGTTGGAGCAGTCGCTGAGTAGCACAGCTTCTCCTAGCACAGAGGGCAGGGCTGTGCCTCCAGCCCTGGCATGGCAGGGGGCAAGGGAATGGCCTTCTGCAGCACGGAGAGCCTCCCAGCCCAATCTTCTCCTGGCTTCATCAGGCTTTGAGATGCTAGAGTCACCCTGGACCCTCTCTCTCTCTCTCTCCCCCCCCCCCCCCCCCCCAGCTGGAGAGCTCACGGCATTCCCACTTTGCCTTTGGCTGACCTGACAACTGGTGCAAAAAGCCCTGATGCAAATGCCCCCCATGGAGACGCAGCCCCAGAGAGCAGCCAGGGAGGGGGTGGCCAGCCTGCAGGGTCCCGGGAGGTAGAGGGTTGCGGCCTGTGGGTCTGTGAGACCTTGGCAAGCAAGGGGTGCATGGCATGTCCTCTCCTGTGCTGTCTGGGGGTGACACTCCCTCTGGCTACATCTGGACGAGGGAAGGAGTAGGTAATTAGAAACGTGTTAGCTAGCGTGATTTAATGAATGGAGTCTAAATACTAGTGCAGACCGGGCGCAGCACCTTTCAAACCTAGCTAGCTGGTCATAGTCAGCCCAAGATGCTGCTAGGGCCCTCTTCTATGGCTCAGGGGCTGGCAGATTTGCTAAATGCTCCCCAAACAGGATGGGAGGTAGGGAGACCTGCTTCAGCTGTGCGGCTTCTTTGCTTAAAGGCTACTGGTCCATGGCAGCCTGTCTGTCAAAGTCAGGAGGCTTCAGGGTTTCTTCCAAATGTGGCTCCACCCAGCCTGGGAGCAGCAGGTCTTGGCCACAGGGAGCCATGGTTATTCAGTGTCATGCTGTGCCAGAGTCTGTCCCCCGTGGCCCTTAGGAATGGTCAAATGGGTAACGGCCAAGGAGCAGCCCCTTGCTATCCGGAGGGGCGTCCCAGGAGGGGAGATCAGAGCAGTTGCCAATGCAGATTGTTGTCTCCAGTGCTTCAGGGACTTCCACCCAATCCTGAGCCTCCTGACTCCAGGGTCTGGATTCTGGGTCTCCGGCAGTTCCTGTGAGCATACAGGGGCCACGCAGCGACTAGCTCTCCCCAGGCATTGGCCATGCTAGCCAGCACAAGTCGGCCATGATGGCTGTGGGACCTAGGGCTACCTGCAGGAAGAACCCTGAGTTTGCTCTTAGCCCAGGATCTGGACAGCAGAGCCGGCCCCAGCATAGCCACACCCACGTCTTCTCCAGGGACAGGGACTTCTCTGGAACTGAGGTGCTGGACCTGCCAGCCGTGACCATGTGGCATTGGCAGCCGGTGGTAGGAATAGGCTGTACTCGGTCCCTGGCTAGAACCTGTTTGCCAGGTTCTGGGCTGCACAGGATTGGTTTGGAACTCCCAGGGCAGCTGGCTGGTGTCACAGGGTCCTTTGAATTTCCAGCTGTTGGAGGCTGTTGTCTGGGGCAGCATTCTCCTGGACCCTGGAAGAGGCATCTAGAGCCCAGCTGTCCCTCTGCTGGGCCTGCTCTGTTCTGCAGGGAGGTTTGGAGCACTTCCAATCTGGGAGTAGCTCCTATCATTCCAGGTAGCAAATGCTCTTTCCTTTCCTTCCAGATTCCAGCTTGGGCATCCTGGACCCCGAGGAGCTGGCTGTGGTGTCCATGGTGCAGTACAAAGTGTCGCAATCCCTCAATCTCACCTCGGAGAACGAGCATGATCAAATTAATGCATCTAAAATAATCTACCACAGCGCACTCCCTTGAGCAATCCGTGCCTCAGGGAATGCTGGGAAAGGGCAGAACAGTGACGGCTGTCCAGTTCTCGTCTTTCAAATGTTTCCCCCGTTATTCGCTTTCCCATTCGGTTTTGTGCTGCTGTTTTGTTGTAAACATGCTTGGTGAGGGAGCTCAATGTAATGTTCCCAACCATCCCTTGCTGTGGTCTGTGAGTGGGGACGGGGGCTCTAGCAACTTTCAGCCAATGGAGAATTCAGCTGTGTGAACTAGGAGCCCACTCCCAGCTGAGCCGATCCGGGCCCTGGGAAGCAGTATCCATAGCTAGCCTCTTAGCAGGACTCCGCATCATCCCTGACTCGCTAGTGAGAGCATTAAAGGGAAAGACTAGGAGCAATCCAGGGGAGACCGTTACCAGTCCATGCACCAGCCTTGCAGGGGCCCGTCGCCTCACTCAGGTGCACCAGCTGCAGATGCAGTGGTCACAGCCTAGCACAAGGGCCTAGGAGCCAGGGTGTGGGGCAGAGCAGGGGGAGAGGCACCTCAGCACTTGAGGTGAGGGGCAGGAGATGCTGCACCAAAGGGCTAATCAATCTTTTCAGCCAGGATCAAAAGAATTTCAGACCAAGAAAGTGCCAGTTTCAGGATGCAGCCCCAGTCCTTGGCTGGCACACGTACGCTGCTGAGAGCCAAGCTCCTCCCCTCCCGTCCCGCATCTCTCCAGGTGGGGCTGAGAGCCCTGCCCTGAGACTGAGCAGGGCCCTGCTGGAGCCTGGAGAGCTGTGGGGCTGGGTGAGCTGCTCCCAGAAGGAGGGGCCCAAGTGCATAAAAGGAATTGGGCACCTAAGTCTGGGTTCGGCACCACTGCAATGCACAAAAATCCTGCTGAAACTCTTCAGGTACCTAACCCCCCTTGGCACCTGCGTCTGTGAAGGTCTTGCACCCTTGCACTGATGTGTCTCCTCTGCAAACAGGGAGCAGCTGGTCCTTTTCTCCCACTGCAGCAAGTCCCAAACCAGGGAAGAGGAGCGCTCGGCTGGGGCCCCCATCTGGCAGGCAGGTGGACTGGCCTTACAGCTTTGAGCTCTGTGGGCAGGTACCCCCCTGGGGTATGGGGAGACCCCCTCTGCCTAATGGGGAGAGGGGAATTGATCAGGGGCCTGCCACCTCTCCGGGGAGTGTGCTAGCCACTGGGCTCTGGCGTACTGCAGTGTGGGGCTCCCTCAGTCTCTCCTGGTGAAGCAGTTGCACTGTGGACAATTAATGAACCAGTCAGTGGAGCAGGGGGATTGGATCCTGGCTCTCCCGGGAGCTGGGTGCGTGCTCTGACCACTAGGCTACAGAGCCATTCTTAGGCTTATAGCCTCTCTCTGAGTTACTTGGGCCAGAAAGTGAGAGCGTGAGCGAGGGCACAAGCTGGGGGATGACTGTGCAGCCTGCTGGTTAGAGCACTCACCCAGGAGGTGGGGGATCCAGTGGCCCTGCTCCAGGATCAGAGCTCTGCAGGGCAGAGCTGCCAAGGGGAGAGGATCCAGGAGTGGGCTGAGGGACCGGGCCCAATGGCTGACGAGAGCAGCAGGAGCTGGGGTGGGCAGTGCGCCCCGAGCCCTGTAAAAGGCGTGAGCATGGGCTGGGTGCAGGGGATCTGCCCAGTCCCCCAAAGGTGTGTGGCCTGCTGCACTACCTGGCCTGGAGCAGTCTCCTGTGGGGTGGGGTGGGGGAGGGGGACCCTGGCTCTGCATCTTGGCAGCAGCCTCTGCTCTGTAAAAATATTTGCTAAGAAAGTGCAGCTCCGCCCTGAAGAAACCACAACCAGGGAGAGCCGCTGGCCTTTGAGCAGCCGGGTTAATGTTTGCAGAGCGTAGGTGACAGGGGAATGAGAGTGCCAGCAAGAGCAGCAGGGTGTCCGAGACCTCTGCAAGGCACCACTTGCCCCCAGCCTGGTTCCTGCACTGCCAGCTGCCCCGGCTCAGCAGAGCCAACCTGTGCGGGCGGCTGAGCCGGACCAGGCACGGCAGGCGCCAGGAGAACTGGGTGACTTGGGGGGAGCGGGAGCTGAGTGCTTCCCTTGGCAGCTAACCATGGCTGGCTGGAGGGGCCCGGCCACTCTCCTAGCCTTTCTCTTCCTGTGCCCGCTCCCCTCCCCCAGCTGCCCTGCCATCTGCAGATGCTCCTCTGGGGAAGTGGACTGCCGTTACCGAGCCTTGCGCTTTGTGCCTGAAAAGCTGCCTACCAATGCCAGTGCCGTGTGGCTGGGCTACAACCACATTGCCGTCCTCAAGGCTCACTCCTTCCGCTCGCAGCAGGCGCTGCAGAACCTCAGCCTGCGCAACAACGTCCTGGTGAGCATCCACAGCCAGGCCTTGGCAGGGCTTGGGGCGCTGCGGGAACTGGACCTGAGCAACAACTATCTCACCGTGCTCATGGCTGAGACCTTCCTGCCTCTCCCGGGCCTAGTGGTTCTCAACGTGGGGGCCAACAAGCTTGGCCAGCTGCCCCCAGAGGTGCTGAAAGCGCTGCCCTGCTTGCAGGAGCTCTTTCTGCACAGCAATGCCCTGAGGTCTCTGCATGCCAGCGTCTTTCTGAACCTGACTGCCGTGCGCTCCCTGACCCTGCAGGGCAACCCATGGGCGTGCACCTGTAAAATCCAGCCCCTCTTCCTCTGGAGCATGGGCAACAGGGACAAAATCCAAGGTAAGAATGGATGGGTGATGCAGCAGCATGGAGAGAAGAACAGCGAGCATAGGGCTGGGCAGGAATTTTTCAGTGAAACCTTTTCTTCATCGGAAAATCCGGCTCCATTGAGCCCACCACTTTCCACTGATTCTGACAGAAGGTTCTCAGAGCCCGGGCCCAGCCCCACCACTCCCGTATCTCGGGGGAGGGCTCTGTCCACTGGGCCATACAATTGATCTCTCTCAATCTCTCCTGTTTGAAGTTGTTCCACTTTTTGTAGAAATAATTCAGTGGTCATTGGGCTAGAGAGAACGTGTGCTATGAACGCTTAACCTGGGAGGGGGAGCCAGGCTGAAGTCCTTGCCCGAGTCAGGCAGAGGCCAACCACTGGCCTATTTCAGGGTCTCCAGTTGTACACAGTCTCATTTCCCTTCTGCTGCAGAGTTCTCAATTTCCAGCCAGCCCCACTCGACTCCCTTGCTCCCAGGGCTGGCCAGGCTCTGAGAAGGGAGCCTCGAGGGAATCTCGTGCATGGACGGCAGCAGATTTATTCCATCCTCTTGGCCAGAGGCAGGGTCCCTGGACCTGAGGCTTCCCTAGGGGTCCCCTCCCCTTGAAGCAGGCGGGTTTGGGTTCAAGCAGGGCATGTAGCTGCATGATTCCACCACGCTGCTGGTTGCACACGAATTCCTTGGGCTGGGGCGATGGCGACAGCCCCTCTCTCAATGAAGCCTCTCGGGCCTGGTATTGGGCAGCCCCTGCAATTCCCTGCTCTGCAGGGGCAGTGATAACTCCCCGGGAGCAGGGCTGGGCTGGCAGGACACAGTGAGCAGGGAGTGAGGGCAAGGGCCTGACCCCCGTGCGGCCCCAGCTTGCTCAGTGATGTTGCTGGCGTAGCCTGGGCGAGACCACAAGGAGTCAGCCCATGTGCTGCAGAGCCTGGGTAAAAGGGGAGTCAAGGACAGGGGGGCTGAGAGAAGGGAGCACCACATGGGCAGAGCCCTCTGGCCCCTGGTTTTGGATAAGACCGACCCTAGCTAAGGAGAGGGAGTTTGGGAATGGTGAGGGGCCAGCCCCTCGCGGGGAGCAGTGTTGGTGCCAGGTAGGCTCCAGCTGTGGGGCACTACCAGAGCTGCCCTGAGCTCCAGCCCTTCCTCCCCTGGGCCCTGTGCTCTGCTCTGGATGTCTCCCAGCCTATAGTGGCTCCCCTTGACCCTGCATAGCCCCTGTGTCCTCAGGATTGCAGGGGCCAGATGCAGCACTTGGCTGGGGTTCTCCATCCAGGCAGCAAGGTGCCCCTGCCTTAGCTCTCTGGCTGGGGTAAAGAGTGCCAGCCAGTTCCAGGCCTTTTGCCAGGCCTCTGTGCATTGAACCCTTTCAGGGAGTTTCAGGTTGGCCCCTCTCTCTGTCACCCAGGCCATTAAGAAGAGAAGCTGCCCACAGCAGCTGGGGGCCAGTGCAGCCTGGGCTGGGAGGATGGGAGGGCTGTTTATGGAGTTGCCCCAGGGCCCTATGTTGTTCGCCAGATCGTGCCTGTGGCTTCTGCCGGCTCCTCGGCTGCGAGCGCAACTCTTCCCCCCCCCATCCTGTGGATGAGCGGCACTGCCCCCCGCAGGCAGAACCCCCCCCCCCGCCTGATGGTGACACCCTTCCCCCTGCACTCCAGGAGCATGAGGTGCACATTTGTCCCTACAGCCCCCTCCCAGCTGACAGGCAGCACTGGCCCTGTGTGGGCATCATAACTTCAGCCCTGGGAGAGGGGCTGCCCCAGGCCCCACCCCACTTCCTCAGCCTTCGAGCTAGTTCAGCCTCCCCTGAGCCCCTGCAACTTCCTCGCGTGTATCACCAGGGCCACTAACTCGCTCCCGGTGCTTTCGTGTTGAGGCGGGAGCCCTGGGCTTGCATCCTGGCTGGGCGGGATGTTCCCATGCACTCAGTTGGGCTGACGGAATTAACCCCAGCTCTGCGCAGCACATTTCACCTGCACAGGTGGTTTGTCCCCTGGCCCCGTTGCACTAGAAGACCGAGGCACAGAGAGAGAGATAGAGAAGGGGACTTGCTCCTGGCCACTTAGCAGGCCTGTCCCACCCCAGAGCTGCTGTCATGGCCCACAGCCTGCCCCTATCCTCCCAATGCTGGATTGTCCTGCGTGACCTCGCCCCAGCACCAGCACACCCAGCCGGCCTGCAGGTTTTCCCCGCTGCTGCTGGCCTGCTCTGAGCACTGGCCCACCCTGCCCAACACTGCCCTGCCCAGCCACCCTCCCTGATGCTGCCCTTCCTTTCCGGTGTTGGCAACAGCCTGTAGCCCTCCTCCTGCTCAGGCAGGAGCCCAAGCCACCTCCCATGTGTGCTGTTGGGAACCATGACCTGGCCTGACCTTTTGCATCTGTCTTTCTCTGGCAGAGGAGAATTTGATCCTGTGCAGATTCCCAGAGCACCTCAACAAGTATCCCCTCCTAGCCATTGGCAACGAGTCCTTCAGCCACTGC